TTCTAAAATTTACAATAATATTTATTAAAAAATAATTAAGATAGAAAAATCAATATTTGGTCAAGTCACTGAAAGGCTTCTCGAGTTTGGATATACATTGTTGATATAACTAGTATACAATGACAGGCTCACTATTTAAGGTTTATAGAGTGCAGTTGGTACGAAATGGTTGAAATGTGAAGTGATGATTTCAGATGCGACCAGTTAAATGGAACCTGATGAATATACTGTAATTGAATTTCTCTTGAATTTGAAAATGTATTTTTCAAAATATCAAGATTAGGATTAAGAGGTTATGTTGGCCCTTGTTGTCAGAGGTGGATTTTTGGTGGCAGTATATGTTGACTCTTCTTAGCAATAGCTCATGATTTTTTTCTCTCTTGTTACAGACAACATCTAATTGGCAATCTGGAAAGATTGTATCTAACAGGAAATTGTGTATGAAGCAACAGGGCATCAATGAATTTCTACATGCAAAAATAGCATCCATTTACATTAATCAATATGTGATGAATGGTTACAGAGACCAAACAATAAATGTGAGCATAGTTAGACAATTCGGTGAAATGGCTGGTCATCACTGCAGGTACAGATTTTTTTTTTTTTTAACAAGAGTCTCAAGCAGACTCTTGTTCCTAACTGAGGAAAATACAGAGAGAATGGTGGTGATTATGTGGAAAAACAGTGTCTTTTAATTCTAAACATGCTCTATTCATTGTCATCATGCTCCCTGTATCTGTTGTAAATTCCATGGACATATATAGGGGTCATTAGTTTCAGATAGTCCCTCATAATGTCATCAGTTAAAAATTCTCATTGAAAATTAATTTGTCAGTATGTTGAGAAATTCTATTTCATAATGATCTGCAAACATGAATGGAATCTTATAGCTTGATGCTTCATCTATCATATATATATATATATATATATATATATATATATATATATATATATATATATATATATATATATATATATATATATATATATATATATATAGCACAGTGATAATGGATAGCACCTTGGATTGAGGAATCGAGAGCCGAGTTCGAATTCAGTTGAATCCATTACATTCACTTACGTAGGAAAGGTGTGAATCCTCTTCTTCTCCCTCCAGCTATGGGTAAATAGCAGGACAGGCTGGGTTCTATAGCCTTGGATGGCAACTGTTCTAAGAGAATGACAACTCTGAATTAAAACCTGTTTGTGGGCCTTGTGGCACATAGTGCACCACGTGTTTGTATTCGGCCCTTCAAATATGGATGGATGCACGAAACCTTCACCACTATAATCAAATCTCATGTGCTGTTGTCGGGCTGTCAGTTTCCTGCGAACTAATCTGCTTGTCCCTCATACATTGAATTCTATGGGAGAGTCGAATATATATATATATATATATATATATAAATTTGATTGAAGATGACTGAAAAGTAACTGTAATTAAGCTTTTTATTAAATTTTTCTTGCAATGGTAATACTTATATTAGCTGTTTCCTTATAAGGAAACATCCAGCATTCATTGACCAAAGAGCCAGTGCTACACTTTGAAATTTATATAATGTTATTATTAGAAGAATTTTTCAGGAAAATATATTTTTCAAGTCCAATAACTTATTGCTCTTTCCAGTATTGATAGCGGTTTCTATCCTAAGCTTTTGTTTGAAGTAGTGTGGAACATCATCATCTTGATTATGTCATTATTTTCTATATGTGCTATATTTTAGTTGTTGTTGCTGTTGAAAGTCAAGTTACATAGTTACTGTTATTTGGTACAGTTCTTTGTGATTCTGTAATGGCAGTCCACGTGATTCGAAGAAAGATGGCCCTTGCTTGACCGAAAGGCCTCATTCACTCGAATCTATTTTTAACTATTGATCTGAGAAAGTGGTTCTATACAGCTGACAGTTTTGTTATTTCTGAATGAGTTTGGCACATGGCATCAATTATAAAAGTCTTGATCTGACAAAGGGATTTAAGAACACGACTCTAGTTAAACATATATATATATATATATATATATATAGTTGAACATGACTCTAAGGCTAACTTCTTATTTTTTTTAAAGTAATTGCAGATACATTTGAAAATTTTATTTGACAAATAGGAACATGCTATTCTGACACATTTACAGATCACCATAAAAAGAAAATATTAAATGTTAGATGCATGAAAAAGTTGTCAGCTCAAAAACAAAAAAAAAAAAATCTGTTTTCATCAGTGTATTCAGTCTTTAATTTAAAGGCAAAAAAAAAGTGACTGGGACTTTCACACACACACAACGAATATATAATCCTTTAATCACATCACATCCTTACTTTTGTGTAAATTGACACATTTTCATCAATTTCTACTCACTTGATTTACGCATCATCAGCTGATCGCCGCACGTATCTTCAGCCCTCAAAAATATCTCTGGGATAATAATCAAGATTCGACGACCCTTAGCTGGCTTGATGAACCAAGTGCAATCAATATTATTTGGGTAGTCGCCTGGATAATTGGGGCTCTCCAGATGCCCACGGTATCGGCCAATGTATCCTCCACATTTTCTATCTACAGATTAGATTTGTGCAAATAAACAAAGAATTGATTTAACAAGGAATTTTAATTAAGAGAAAGCAAAAAAATCATAAATAATTTAAGTAGACTTGCTAAAATCATCATTCAACCTTACGCAATCATACTTTTATGAAATTATACAATTATACACAAGTCATACAATCCTCCCAATAAGGTGTGTATGTATATATATTATATATATATATATATATATATATATATATGAGATTATAACAAGAACATTTTGAAATCACTAGACAAAAGCTTTCATGTTTCAATAATATGATTGTATTTCTTCAGGTGATGGTACATACAATTCCTGTGTGTTCAAATTTTGTCTTTATTTTAAATCATTTCATCCAATGTGAGACAATAAAGCCACCAAAATGTGATGGGTTACTGAGTATTACAAAATATGAGAAAAAAAGCACACACAATTCATGTTCTTTTATTTTTTTCTTGAACAATAAAAGAACAGGAATTAAGACAGAAGATAATGACTGACATTGCATCTAAAATTTTTGAACTGATTCAAGTGTTTGACGAATGTAAAATTCCAATAATATTTTGCAATTATTTCATGATTATTGACAACAACAAATGACAGTCAATGAAGCAAAGGACAAAAAAAATGAAACCTGATTTGTAAGATTTTATATTTATTTGCAGTAAAAATTTTGACAAAAGAAAATAGATTTAACTCTTTAAATAATATTCTGTAAGTTTACATCTCATTTTTTTTATTCAAGTGTATATAATTCGAGACTAGCTCCTCATTAGCTTTTTTTCTAAATCCCTGTTTATTCCCCGTCTTTCTTGTTTAGATTTTTTAAAATTTTCCAACATCTCCCCAGTTATTTCAAACTCCTCTTTTATTCAAAACCCAAGAGTAATTGAATAAGTTTTTTGTTTTTAATAAACTTAAGACAGTTTTCAGAATATGTTTGGAACTGTAGCAAACATTGTTTTGTCATCTAAATATCAAAAGTTCTGAAATAAATAATGGCCAATTTATTTTGGGAACTATTTGAATATCAGTAATAAATTAATCACACGATTATGATATTTTTAAAACAGATAGCTAAAAGTTGTCTCCCTTGTCAATCGTGTTTAGAATTTTGAATGATCTCCCTTGGATTCGATTTTATTTGTGTTGAGATCAAAAAGTTGTTACAAATTAATAGTTTTTTCAACGCAATTTCATTAACTAGTATATTTATCTTTATTTTATCACAGTATAACGATTACGAAATAATTAGCAAAAGCGTCATAGAGTAATTAAGAATTAAATTATTGGCAGGTGAAATGGTGGTAACTGTCAGTTATTTTTTTCCTAGCCGCCGCTTCGTTTTAAAATCGTGATGGGAAATTGATCTGATAAAAAGCTAACTTAACAAAAATCTAACATACACTTCAAAGCACTTACGGAATAAATATAAAATAGGTACTTATCAAAGAAGTCAAGTTTACTCAACAAGTTTGCCTGAACAAATGGTACCCGAGGACGGATGGTAAAAAAAAAAAAAAATTTAGAACAGCAAGACAGGAAAATGTAGTCGTTATCGCACCAATGTATCCTCCACATTTTCTATCTACAGATTCAACGAACTCGGTATTTAAAAAAGTTAATTTTTGAATCTATTAATATTTAAAGATTTTTATTTTTAATAAATAAATATATTCATGAGATTAAATGGACGATTTAAAATTAACAATTCCAAAGACTAAAGCAAAATGTGATGGGAAAAGAAACAGAAGATTATTTCGTAACTATTTTTCAAAAATGCTTACTACTACGTTCGTGAAACAATCAAAATTATTACTTTATTACATTATTATATATTTATTATTGGAGACAAATGGAACTTTGTACACTTCTCAGTTTTTAGTTGTTTCGTCTTATCTACAACCTCCTCTACGGGTGTAAGACTTGGACACTCCTAACTGAGACAGGCAAAAGCATCCAGTCTTTCGATAACAAATGCTTGAGATAATTCCTCCGTATCTCCTACTGGGAGCACAAAACTATGTATAGAGCAAGGTCGAAAGTCTCGTGGGTCGACAGGAATTTCTTCTCGCCACTATTAATCGTCGGAAGATGGCATAGTTTGGCCATGTCACACGGCCTAACAGCCTCTTCATAATTCAAAGAACTCTTTAAGCAAGATGCAAGCGGGGAAGGCAACGCAAAAGCTGGTCAGATAACATCAAAGAGTAGACGGACATGACAATGCCGAAACTCCTGAAAGCCACCGTTAAAAGATCAGCTTGGAAAATGTCTGTTTCTTCCGCTTTCAACCATTCTCCTCCGAACCTTCGACGATTGAACCAGTCGAGGGACTGACGATAGAGAAAATAATATATGACGTGGAAATTCATTATTGATTAGTTCATCAAAAATATCTGATTTAATGAAATCCACGAAATGAATTGATTGAGTAGTCTGTTTTTTATGGTTAGAATATATTTTTAGATTGTAAGAATTTTTATTTTAGAAATAATAATGATTTAGCGATACAAAGCTTACTAGTTAACCCATAGGCTGGGAGGAGATGAGGTGGATTCATACCTTTCACAAGGATATTTGCAGGTAAGTGATTATCGAAATGTTGTGTTAATAACAAAGATGAGGACAATAATCTGCGGTTGCGTCTCTGTCTTCGGACAGAGGGCGACTCGATTGCGTCTCTGTCTTCGGGCAGAGGGCGACTTAGTTGTGGTTCATCCAGAGGACGGGGCACAACTAGAGAAAATAAAACTGAGGTGCCCAGTCCTGGGGAACAGCTGATCGAGGCTTCACCCTCTCTAGTCACTAGAGAGATGGATGGTGCTCGCACCAAGGCCAGCTCAACCGACGGTTGCGGAGGGCTCAGGGTATTTTTTTTAGAAAACTAAAAATGTGATTCTAAAAGAAAATAATTAAATTTTTACTGCGCCTGGGGAAATTGATATAGATGGTATGACAAATGTTATACGAGGTGGGAGTGCTGAAAAGTTCTAGTTCTCAAACTCGACAACTTTTCAGCACCCTTTCATAATACTGGCTTACCTTTACAATCTGAGCTATTTTTACTATTACTATAATCTGTGGTTGTGTCTCCCGGGCAGGCTGAACAGAAATTCTGACTCGACTCCGTTTGGTAAAATCCGACTGGACATTCAACACAAGTTTCTTTATCAACATCGTAGAACTGACCAGGTTTGCATATTTCTGTTGAAGAAACATAAAACAAAATCTTATACATACGATACTTTTTCATCCGTCTGTTCACATTCACACACAAATATGTCTTTGTGGATTATTCTTGTGCAAATCTCAACAACTGAACTTAATATCCAAAATGTCTAGTTACTCATTTCTGTTTTAATATCATTTTTACTGATAAATAAAGATTGATTTCGTTCCACCAAAATCGAAACAAAGTCTAATACAAAAAAAAAAAACCCTTTGTAAATATTTGCTTATCTTAAAAGAATTTTGCTTCGTATTTGTATTGCTCGGAAATGAAAATCTAAACTGTTAATTGACAATAAACAAACTTGATCATATTTGAATTTCAAAATTTATTAAATTTAAACCAACTGTTAAGAAACAGGAAAATTTCGTTAGCAACAAAATAGTGGGGAAAATAATATCAGTCCTTCTATATAGCAACGAATGCTGGATAATTTTCTCATAGATAATGACGAGATTTGACGCAACACATATGTGGATCTACAGAAGGATGCTGATAATATCATGGACAGAACATGTAAGCAACGAAAAAATTTTAAAAGTAAAAAAAAAATATTTGTGCTTAGGACAAGAAAGAGCTGAAATTTCTTGGATACATAATGAGCAAAGAAAGCTTGGAGAATTTGACACTCACAGGGCTTATTGACGGTAACAGGGGCATAGGTAAACAGTGAGCAAATCTATCTAACGAGTTTATGTAAATGGATGACAGAAAAGCGACCTAGAGGGATAGTTGGGTGACAAATATTACTCAGAGCTACGAAGAATAGGACGTTGTGGAGAGCTATGATTGTTCGTTCACGTCCTAATGGGATACGGCACATAAAAGATGGAGAATGGTTTATTTGAAATTTATTTCAACTATCCTGGCGCCCAGAATTCTTTCATTTCCATTTAATTCACAGATTTTCATGACTTCCAAGGGCAAAAGTGTAAATTGAATGCAAGCTGCTTCAGTCGGAATTTGAACTCTGTTCGACAATTTAATTTTAGTGTTGATAACTGTTTAAATTCTAAATTCACAAATGCAAAAATAAAAACGTTTTTCTCTTTATTTAGGTTTGTGACGCTTTACAACGTAGGAAATCTTTTTTATTTTACTTTTTTATTTCATTAGTCTCCACCTAAAACTAACGGCAATAATTTAAACGTACAGGAGCCTAAAAAGGCAAAAAAAAGAAGTTAAATTGTATTTTACTTGGCGACGAGAAACACGGTCATAATGTTCATTTGGAGGCAAATTTTAACAAGAGTTTGATCTTGTAGAATCTTTTTATTCGATGGATACCACCTCAGTCCAATTAACAAATTTTTGTTTTAAGAAGAAGTGTAATGCTGTCTAAAGTTTAAAATGAGAAATGTTTCTTATTTCAAATAATATTAGTAAAAGAAATAAAAGTGAAAAATATACAGAGAACAGTAGCCAAAAAGAATTTAACAAGAAAAAAATCCAAACGAAAACAATTTTTTTTTTGTTGTTAATCTCCACCAGATTAAAACTTTAATAATCACTGTTTAATTGATATATTCATGTTTAACTTTCAGGCTAGAGTTTTCTTAGTTGGTTAACGGAAAAGATCTATTATTTCAGGTCTTTTCGCCGAGAAAAACAATGATTTTTTTTCTTTTTAATCTTCCGTACTTTAAAATTATCAACGTTAGATATTTTTAACGACAAACGAAAAATACGTAATCTTTTGTCACCCTAGTATTTGAATTCGATGGAACAGAAATAGGAGTGTCCTCCAGTCGCTAGCTTCTTTTTTTTTTCCAAAAACGCCTCTATAAACTTCAGGAATATCCATTCGCGATGACGTTTATTTTTTGGTATTTGTTGTTGTTCAAATTAATTCAACACTCCCTCTTCTAAAACAACGTATGATCCCCAGGGGGTTATAAAAGACTTTGAGCCTAGCATTCTCGAAGATAGAGCAGTTAAATCCCAAAAACCACAACAAGGCCATTGGCACAATCCTCAAAGACATGCCACCACTCCCAGAAATGGTACAATAAGGCTATCGACACCATTCTCGAAGACATCCCACGCAATCGGGAGCAAACCACTACAATAAAGAATAAATTAAAAAAAAAAAAAAGAAAAACCTCATGTCACCGCCCTTTTCACGAAATTGTTTTGTTGTAACAAAGAATTTTTTTTGTCTCTCACTCTCAGAAAAAAAAAGAAAAAAAAAAACAACGATGGTAGCATTTGCATTTCAAATCAACAAATTCCTCTGTTGTTTATGTCCAACGGTTTGTTTTCTTTTGCTAAAATTTTTCACTCGGAAACTCCTTAGCCGACAAGTACTTGTATTGAGAGACCGAGTCACAGAGAAGGACAAACGCCAGTAGATTTTGTCTTCAGTCCCTCGGCTTTGTTGAAAGCAAAATGAATGTCTTTTGATGTTACTTAGGCTACGGACAAAGGCTCTTTCTAAAAACATTACGCTTTGTGATTATTACGGTGAACGTGGAAATGTAAAACTGGCTATAATTTCTATTGTTTATCATTTTCAGAAAAGTCATTAACAATCCAAGGTTTCCTTGCACAGATGAAATCCTTTCTGCTGCAGATGTTAACCACAATGAGTCAAACGAACCGACTGCTATATTATCTACGATATTTTTTTTTTTTTTAGACATCTTACGGTCGGTGCATTTAAAAATGACTGCAGAATGGATTGACCGAAATATCATCGACAAAAAAAAAAAAAATTAATAAATAAAAAAAATAAAATAACATAAAATTAAAGTTTTAATTTCTTGAAAGCATTATACAACATATTTTTCTGTAGTTGATATTTCCTTTTTCTGAAAGAATAAAAACTATCAACGTTTCTGTATATTTCGGTCCCTTGTATAAAAACGAGAGAAATTGCATTAAAAATTAGCAAATTATTCCTTATCGGTCGTTTTTTTTTTTTTTTTTTTTTTGGTTACAATGAGGTTCATCCTGTACAAGGCGCGGGGGGCATTCGAGGTAGTGGTTACAAAGTAAGAAGAACATATTATGCGGATAGGTAGAGGAAGATAACGGTTAACCTTAGATTAGAACAGGTTAAGAATGTAGTAAGTGATCGTGGAAACGCCCCCTTGGGAGTCGGTTCCACAGGACTACGGAGGGAATGCGGATGCTTTGCTACGATGTAAGTGGCACGGTGGGTCCTAGCCGTGAAGGGTCTAACTGGCAGAACCAAGGAATGCTGTTCGTTTGAACACTTTCCATGGAAGTAGTGATAGAACAGTGAGAGACATGCGACATCCCGTCTGTGGGCTTGCTGGGTGGAAAATAATTTGTTACTCACAAGGACACGTCAATAATACAAACATAAATGAAAGATTGCTAACGAATATATACAATATGGATTTTCTAAGCGTAACTTAGATATGGCACAAGGCCGAAAGTATGGGGTATCTTTTCAGTAGTAACTGATCTAGCAAGACAAGCTTGCTAACCATTACACCCCGCCGAGCTGCCCACGAATATATACTGTATATGTATTTACTAAGCTTAGCTTAGTACAAGGTCACTAGTGTGGGGGAATATACTGAAGTCCAATCATCTTCGAAATTAACTTTCTAACTTTTACTTCATGGCGAAGCCCCGAGTAATAACATACGTTTTTGTTAGTGTGCACGAGTCTTTAAAAGAAGATACACATTACAGAATTTTGTACACGTATATAGATGATATGTGGGATTATATATGTTATTGGCGATACTGAAGAATTATGTGCCTGACCGCCGGATCCAGCTCCCAAGATGTAACCAAAGAAAAAAAAGTTTATCAAGGAGCACAAATTTTGCTATTTCTCTATCTCAATACGGCAAGTTCCACACTCATCGACCTCAGAGGATGATTGAATGAGGCTAGTGCAAAGGCGGGAAAGAGTGCGTCAGACGTGCCTACTATGAGGATATGTAGGACAGATATATATTGACGCTAGTTTTGGTTGACACCAATGATTTTAAGGGGTTAAGATGATAGTGATTGGAGAAACATCCTCCCGGAAGTCTGTTCTATAACTTAACATTTCTGAGGAAGAAGCTGTCTGAGTGAAACTTCTTCCTTACCAATGGAATACGAAGGGAACCAGGATGAGTTCACTAAGTCTACGTAGTATGGTGGCTCCTAGCTGTGAAGGTCTGAAATGGCGGAGTAACGAAACTCACAAAAACAGTAACATTAAAAAAAACTTTAATTCACGATTTATTTATTTATTTATAGACATAACTTACACCATTTGCCTTTATTTAATAGAATATGAAGAACATATTTATACTATCATGTGGACACTTAAACTTCAAAACGTTTCTTTTTCTGACTTTTTCGTTACTTGAGAAGACTTAAACGATATTTCTTGAAATATATATTTGGCAACATAATTCTATGTTTTCTTTTTTATTGAAATGATGAATTTCTGAAACTGGCAAATATGTATTTGTTAAAGAATTTATGTCGGTCTTTAATCTGAAAACCTTAAATATCGTAAAAAAAACCCCGCTGTAATAGACAGTGTAATTTTTAAATCACCACGGCCCCTTTCTTTCAAACAAATCTTTGTATTCTTGGCAATAAAACCCTATATCATTAAATATTTCTTGCTCTCTGAGACAATATTTTCGTGTAACATGTCCTGCTACATGGAAGAAGTTACATTTTAAGATCATTTGGGGATATTATTTTTATTTTCTGGTAAGGAATCAAATGCTTGGATTGTTATTTTATCTAACAACTTTCAACGGAAGTCATTTCAATCAGTCATTTATGTGCCATACGTGATACACGTTTGGTCGATGATGTCCCTTTGGATTCATGACTGACTAGACAAGATTTTTCTGTAGGAGGTTGCCGTTTCTTTCTGCGCTAGACGAGTTGACAACCAAAGCTATAAGACCCAGTCTGTCCTGCTATTTAACCCATAACTTGGGGGAAAGTAAAGAGCTAGATTCAAATGTTTCTCAAGTGTATTTGCTCGCAAGTGAATGCAACGAACCCAATTTGAATTCGAACTTGGATCTCCAATTTCTTATTCCGAGCCAATAACGATTACAACACAATGCACATCCAAATATAATTTAGTTGTCCTCAATATGAAATGTCTCAATAACATCTTGTCATAATTTAGCAGATTCATTTTCAAAGTATGATTGGAGAATTTACCACAAACTAACAAAACTAAACTAAATTAAGCAGATTTATCAAACCATTTTGTGTGCTCAATGTCTATATTAATGTCCAGTATGAATAATGTAATTCTCTTTTCATCTTCCCCAATCTGTTTTACTATTTTTATTATTAAAATGTCGCAAGTGTCAAATCCACTCCTACTAACACGCATTAGTAGAGTAATGGCCCATTCTTCCCCATTGAATCTGCGAGAGAACCTTCGCAGGTTGAGAAGAAGATCATAACACATTTTCCAAAAGATTTTCAAACTTATTCACAGACTTTAAACAATCGTTTATGTGTCTAAATCGCAGAAGTTATTTTTTCCTAGCATGACAATCGTTTGGTTATTAATATATATGGAGTCATAAATATTTTCCATTTTTTGTTTATCAAATTTGTTTTTAGACAAAAAAGTACAATTACAGTTTACTTAATTATATATTCACCATTCTTTATGGTGACTTGTTACCACTTATCAAGCTGTTTTTTTTTTTTAACTTTTGAGTAAAATTAAACACGTTTTGATACGAAAAAAGTTGTGACGAAAACTTGAATTTGGTTTTCATGAAAGAAAGTTTGGATCTTTTCTGCTAATTCACTCCAAATAATGTAAAGTTACTTATCGCAAATATTAATTCACCCCAAGAAATTATAAATTTTAAATCAAAATTTTTTTAGTTTGCCTCGCAACAACTCCAACCCACAAACTGAAAAATTACCAAAAGTTAAGGAGTTATTTACATTTCGTAAGCGCGGATGATATTCGAGGTACTTACAAGGGATTTTTTTACAATTTAATTTGGCTTGTTTATCGGGATGAGTGCAAAAGTAGATCCCACATTAGCGCACCCAAGTGGCCCACATTTGGGGTGACATCAAAGGTCAACCCAACCAGAGTGCAATGGAAGGATCTCGTTCCGGGAGAATTTTGTTTATAAAATATAATCTTTTTATTTTGGGCTGAATTAACGGAAAAGATCCGAAAGTTTTCTTTTCTCATCAAAGCGTTTTTGCATCTATCGAGAAAGGTAATAATCGGTCAAATGAATATAGCGAGTTTGAGAGAACAGAGTAACTGAGAATGTGTCCCTTGAAGAACAACATTTTTAATATTGATGAGCGCAGGGCGCTTTTTGAACAAACGTTTATGGACACGTTCCAACTGCTGGACGTATAAATGTGCATTTAGTGTTTCCTGGCGTTATAAGAACTCTAAATGAATAATACACCGAGAATCTCATCACACGCACAACATTATCTTCCTTTCATGGAGCTCAGATTTTGGGGTCAGTTGTGGAGACTTATTCTTATCAATCCGCTGTTTATTTTGCGTTAAACTTTGTCGTACATTAGTTTGCTTCGAATCTATTCTTAACAGCCATGCATGATTAGTAATTAGGATGATAGATTCGTTATTCGAATTGTTCCCTAAAAACGGAAATTACTTATGACTCAACTTGGTAGTATCGACTCTCGACACTGAGACGATATCATTTGATATAGGATTTTCCTTTGATCTTTTTTTTAAAATAATTATGCTATTATAAATATTTTTGACTTTCTTCTTGACTTTAAAGTATTAAGTCTTAGTAGACTTGTATATATCTTCTAAGAGTTGTGCCACTGCCAATGAATTTTGAAAATTATTTCGTCTCCAAGTTTTAATTTTAAAAGGAAAAAAATATGCCTGAGGATGAATAAAGGATTATTCGAAAGTACTTGCATTTTAAAAAAATATAAACTGGAAACAACAGACAACAGTTTTATAAATGAGGATCACATCATTCTATGGATTAACAGTATTTTAATGCATACATTATATTCTACTAGCGATGGGATATCGCCAATAATAGCATTAATATTGCTGATTGATTCTATGCGTGATTATTTCTTTGTATATAAATATATGCTGCGACCTGAGTGTTCGAGAAATTTCGTTGAAAATATGCTTTCTCCGACAGGAATCGAACCTACATTCCAATACGGAAATTGTCATTTGATCTGACGGGTTATACCATTTAGCTACAGAATGGCGTCAGGTTAGCAAAGTCCGAATTACTGTTTATAAACATACAAATTCGGCGATTTTTCTCAATCGATCATTTCTGTTCACGAAACGTATCGTAACGTAAACAATGACAACATATCATGAAACGGACGAAGTCCGACAATTATTTAATATATACACATCCATCCCGAAGCGCACAAACAAATCGATACCTCCACCCAGAGATATACGCGCGCAGTAAACATTTGTAAGTGCACGTATGCGTGTAAAGAATTAAACGTTTCGCGTATATAGTGACAAACAACAACAACCCCACTTCGTTGCACACGTCTATATACGTTCATATTTAGATGTGCGGCCATGAAAGCACATACTTAGAAAATTTAATACCTATCATTGTCTGTTTTTTTGGAGGATTTTGTTTTTTCACACTATCGCTGTCAGGTTTTCGTGACAACAGACGGAATTTGCTCAGTTTGGAATTTTCCTTCTGTTTATTGAATAAATAACAGAACGAAAAGCCTGTCTTGGTTTACACATTGCATGTGATTTATATTTTTCTCTTGCATAAGAACGAACCAATACCATTGCAGTATTCCAATGTTTTCATAGCCTCAATAGAAAGACTGATTGTTAAGCCTTTTTTGCTTTTCATTTCCTAACATAACAAGTGTAGAGTGAATATTGATGACCAGTTCGGAATCTTACATAATTCCAGTGAAACTTAGGGAGGCACTTTTGTGTTTGTTTTTACTTAAAAGAAAAAAAAAAAGCAACGTAGATAAAACGTAAGCATCAAGTCAGAGACAAGTACGATGGTTGAAGATTTATGATGATTTTCTAAGGCCGAAAGTATGGGCCACCGGCTGATGAGAATGAAGATTTATGTCTGAATTTTAGGGACCCGCCGTTGCTGTTGTTGTTGTTGTTACACTACATCAACAACCACACTTCTTCTGGATCAGTTTCCTTATTTTCGTTTTGTTTTTAATCACTCGGCCACTGTTTCCTCCGAAAAGTTAGCGGAAGCGACAGAATCCTGAGGAAGGCCACAGAGAATCGAAACATTGAGAGCGAAAGAGACAAAAAATCAACTAAAAAGAGTTTTTATAATATAGGAAATTAAGAGTTATTGATGTAGTCTGTTTTTCGCAGATTTTGCAAGGACAAATGCCGGAAACCGAAATAATGTTCTTTTTTGTACTTTTCCCTTTTTTCTTTCTCTTTTTTTAAAATCCGTAATGCTTAATCAAATCAACTTTTGTTTTCACTGATGAATTTGGTTAGTTGGTTGTTTTTGTTTAGCGGCACATCAACAACTCTATGAGTTACTTAATGCTGAAGTCTAAATATTTTGTACGCAATTTTTTTTTTGGATAATAATTGTGTTAGTAATAGAAGTCTTACGGATTAAACCATAGGCGGAAAAGACGACGTAATAAGAAATATGTCAGAAAATAATTTTTAAAAAGTGTATTGCCGATGCAAAAAGTGTAAAAAAGCTTTCGTATTTATGGTTTCATTGATTCTTTTTTACGGCTTATCAGCCCTTTGCAAGTTATTTAAATCCAGAATATATATTTTATATTGTAAGAATTTGTTTTTGAAGATAATAATGGTTTTCATGATACAACCCTTACTAATTAACCCATACCTGCGGAAAGGAGAGGTGGGTTCCTACTTTTATCAAGGGTATTTGCGAGTAAATGAATATAACGAACCCAACTGAAATTCGAACTCGGCTCTCCGATTAACAATTCCGAGCCATTATCCATTGCACCACCTGCACATCCAAGCTTTAAAGTGCCTGGTATTCCCAAGCGATCACCTATCTAGATATTGATATTAGTACTACAAGCTCGACATTGCTTAACTTCGGTGTTCGTACGGGAACCGGTTTTTTAACGTGATGTCACCGTAAGCCCTTTTTCCACCCTGGGTAAAACGCATTCTGGGTAAAACGCGTCCTGGGTAAAACGCGTCCTGGGTAAAACGCATCCTGGGTAAAACGACAAACTACATCAGGGATTTTGAGTAGCGTGGAACCACATCTCAATTGCTGGTGTTCCCAGGTCCACCGTGACCCGGAGTGGTAGCACCTGCCAGGGCCCCAGCTATGGGCAAATAATTAACCCCTCAAAACACTATGAAAGTATAAAAATAGATTTTAATACCAGCAATATTTTTTTTTGAAAATTTTTTTTAGCAGCAATACATTTTGAAAAAAAAAAAAATTATCAGCAATAAAAATCTTGTCGGCATTAAATAACCCATTGAGGCGTTGATATGCCGTAAAACAAAACAAACCAAACCGGAAGCTCTTTTGCTTTACGGTCATTTTCGTGCAACTGACACAAATATTGTGAGAAAACCCCGAAACTCCGTGACGGAAGGATTAAGAAAACTATTTGACTAATCATGAAAATTTAACTTGCCACTTGCAGAATATTAAAGAAAATTTGAATCTGAAACTTTCATTGTATAATGCTCGGTCTATCAGATTAAGAATCGCTATAATATTAAATGCATTGACAAGGAAGGAAAGTGTACCGTAAAATACGTAATTTTTTGTTCTTTTTCTTCTTTTTATCACCATTAGGATACGAACATATTGATACACTTGCTTATTTGCATTTAGACACCATCATCATCGCTTGGAGCTAAAATAACTGACAAGTTTTTCAGGTGATGTGGGTTAAACACATTGTTTACCTTTCGCAAGGCAATCCTGGAATCCGATGGATGCTACACGCTTTGTCTTGAGATTGTTGCCACATGGAATACACCTATTGCGACCAATATCCCTCTGGTATGTTCCGATGGGACATGGTTGACATGGCTCCATTCCAGTCGCGGAAAAATAACCGGGGCCGCACAAAGCTGAATAAACAAATTAATGGACAAGCTTTAGTTTCATTTTGTAAAATATAAAGTTAAGACAATAACTGTGACATGTACAAATATAACAAAAGGCAAGAAAGCCAAACATTATATAGTTACACACCAACTTAATCTGTCTATATAGGCAATAAATAATTGTAGGCCAGAAATTCAGTAGTAATATATTGAGAATTTAGCTTACTAGTCATTGATGAACGACGAGTTCTTCTTATGTCTCGATAGATAACACTACGTTTATGTAATATATAAAATGGAGAGGTGCTGAAAAATTTTAGTATGAAAAAGAAGAGAGAGAGAGAGAGAGAGAGAGAGAGTGATAATCAGAAGTAGATGTGTCCGTTTTTGGCGGAAATAGTTACCAATTCTGGTTGTCCACGTGTGTCAATTTGGGTAGCAATCCTTCACTAATACATACTTAAAAAATGACCTACGTGGTACATCTATTAAATATTTTATTTAATTTTTCTTTTATGCGAACAAGAGATTTCTTTTAAGGACTTAGTGTGTGTAAAAAATTTCCAAATAATTGTTCGTCCGAAACGTTTTCGGTTAATATCTCTCTCTCTCTCTCTCTCTCTCTCTCTCTCTCTCTCTCTCTCATATATATATATATATATATATATATATATATATATATATATATATATATATAAAAAACTCTGCTTGGAAAAACTCTTAGGCATTTCGGCTTGTAGTTGAACAAACCAGTACCCAAGGAAAATGAGGAATAAAAAGAAAGACCTAAGAACATGAAAGGCGAAATCAATCGTCCAGAATTCAAGCTCAGAGTCCAAAGAAAAAAACCTCCAAAACAAGTAAAGCATAAGTAACTACGTAAAGTGCTCAATACACGAAACAAACCTAATATAATAATATTACCTGACTCTTTAGGTATATATATATATATATATTATTCCTAAAGGTCATATATACGACAGTAGCAATGCTCTACAAGAATATTTTAACTCAGTCCGTTTAATTACATTCGAAAGATATAAAACGTAGGATATTGAAAAATTTGATAAACAAGTGTCTTAATTTGGATCCACAAGGAAAGTGTTAAGAGATTAATGACATTCATGATGTCATCTAACAGTTAAAAGCAAAACATTTTCCTACGATAAATGAATATCAAGCACTCAAATATACACACCATCTATGTATTTATTTTCCATCATTGTATTTGTATATGTATGACAAGTACAATGATGGAAAATAAAATTGCAGCATTTGCCGATTTTGATCTGAGTATAGTATGTAAATGCTACAGTTTAATAGATATTAAAATTTTAAAGCCTTCAGACATTTTGCAATGTAGTAAATCTCATACAATTGCACAGACAGTGTCTGAGCTCAAGACCGTAACACATACTGCGATAAGGTTCAGTTTGGTAAAAGTATACAATGTTAGCAAGTGTTATGCCAAAGAAATGTAAATGTTCTCCTTTTGTTAAGTCATAGCCTTTTTGTGTGGGGGTCAGATTGTGAGCTTTCTAGAGGTTGAATAATGGTTTGGAGAATCGGAGAATTTGGATTGTATGTGAGACATGACATGTCACTGGTGATTCTATGTCAGCAACAGAAGTCAAACAAACATTCCTGCACCCATAAACCAGGTTCTGGATAGCCACATAATTCACATGCTCATGATATCAGCTAAAACTTAAATGTAAAAAACTTTTCTATTACAAGTGAATAACGAAGAATCAAATATATAGATCACCTACCTAAATATATCAAGCACACTGATAGAAAATAAAATTGCATCACCTTGAATACCGATGCCAATTTTGATCTGAGTACAGGTTGTGCATGCTAGGATATAAAAGATGTTATGATTCATTTTTTAAAGTCTTCAGCCATCTTAAGATCTAATAAAACGCGTACAGGCGCACTGTCTGTGTTTTAGACAGTGACGCATACTTCGATAGGGTTCAGTGTGGCGAAAGAATCCAGTGTAAGCAAATATTATGCCAAAGAGATGTACATGTTCTCCTTTTGAGTGGGGTTAAATTGTGAGCCTTCCATAGGGTAAATAACCATTTGAAGAATCGCTGTGCATTCTGGAAGTGACATGTTGGTGGGCGCTTCGAGTCAAACAAAAATGTCTACGCTCGTAAATCAGGTTCTTGATGGTCACGTAATTCAGATGCTTTTCAAGATTATCCATTGGTAGATCATACAGCGTCCACAGTACAGATCAGGGCAAATGTAGTCTCAGGATTGTCAACACAGACATTGAGAATTGTCTACTTGCAGTAAGGCTACAGACGTGCGTACCTCTCGCCAAAATAACCATCGTACACGTATTAAATAGTTTTGTAAGAGGATCACATGAGGAATGGTATGGCACCCTGTAATGGTTCCGGTCTCATGCAAGTGACGTAAAACTGGAGAGCGGCATCTTCCAGAAGATATATGCCAACGATACACACCCATAAACAATAACATTATAGTGTGTCGAGCTAGAAGTTACAGTTCCCATTTGCCTTTGGTGTTTGGGGATAAAGCTGACAATGTCTATGCGCATCTATTTTCAAGTTAAATGTTTCTCAGAAACACAAAGTCAAGTAATTGAAAATGCTTCAAATATTTTCCAATTGTTTCGTGAACACAAAACTGTAACATTACATTCTAACACCTCACAGGTTTCAGTTTTAAATTAATTGACTTTTATTTCAAAATATAATCAGACAGGCCTAAAATCAAAATGGCGACTGTATGCGGATAACTGAAAATTCACTTAAGAATTCATTATCTCACCTTTGCAGTCAGAAGTGTTTCTTGCTCCCAAGATTCCGCGTCTTTCAGCCATGTTTGGACAGATCTTACATTCAGCTTGTCCTTCCGTATCTTGGTAACTTCCTTTGGTGCAAGGTAAACACTGGTTTGTAATAGTGTCGTGGTAATTACCAATAGCGCAAGCCACTACAACAGAAACACAATTAATAGAATAAATAAGACGTTAATTAGTTTTTGTTGTTTAAAATGCCGTTTTAGTAGGGATTTATGATGATTGTGGTTGGGGGACGTAAATAACGCCATAAATAAGAAGTTTTGCCGAAGGAAACATGTTGTTTTAGAGTGATTGCAATAGATAAATCTTCATATACAAGCAACTCATTTATATGCAATTGTACTCAAATTTTACTCACTTTTAATCAATTCCACTAATGACGTCAGTGTAGCTTAAACGACTTGTAGAAGAAAAGAAGCAGACGATGAAACAAAAGGTGATTAATTATATTAAGTGAATTACGTTATTTTAGGCTGTATTCGATAATTCAACTAGTTACACTCAAATATCTTTTAATCTTTATTTATTAGATCCAGGCATAACAAATTAAACAAAATCTGCATATGCATATATATATATATATATATATATATATATATATATATATCAAATATGTGGTATCAGTTCAATTATAATATATAAAATATTCATCATTAACTTTACTAATCTACTTTTTGTATGAATGATTCATTGTAATATAAATTGAACTGCACCACATATTTGATTTAAAAGAACTGATCCGATGTGCAAATTTTCGGGATAACAGCTGCGACATTACTCTATTTATTGAACAATTTAGTTCATGCCACATTGACTGAAAAACTCCTACAACAAAAAAATTCTCAAATTACCATATTAGTAAAAAAACGCACTCTCTTAAATTTAAAAAAAAAAAAAAAATTCAACCTTAGCGTTGCGACTGCACGCTCCAAAAGTTTTTATCCATTAATAATAACACATTTCTAAAGAAAACATATTTCGATTCGCAATTAATTTTTCCTCTCTGATGCTACCTAGATTTTACTAAAAACAAAATTATTTCCATGCCTGAGGATGACTGAATGTGCATTTAAAATTACTAGCAGATTAAAAAAGACCTTATACGACTTGTAGTTATTAAAACAAGGATCATAACATTCATCGAGTGGTTCGTAGGTTAATGCAACTTTAAAATTTTGTTTGCGAAGAGTTTTCGCCATTTTATATCATTACTAATCTACTTTTGTATGAATGATTCATTGTAATATATATATATATATATATATATATATATATATATATATATATATATCGCGTATTTCGGCAGCAATCATTTTCTCAAACATATTTTGTTAAATAATATGAACAAGTTCTGTCTATCAATTTCTTAATTAAATATTTCAAATTTCCGAATAAATTGTTTTGTTTTATCGGTAAATTTGCTAAATTTCACATTAACTTTGATTTTGTATTATTTTTTTCTTCCCAAGTAATTTCGAATGATACGCTATTTGATTTCCAGGATTATTCTGTCTAATTATGCAACGTTTTTTTTTTATTCCGACGTTTTCACGTTTGAAGAAATCAATTTGAATTCTCTCTCTCTTATATAACGCATATGGGCACACGTAGGTACATCATTAAATCCGTGATCTAATGATGAAAAATGCGGTTATTTTATACATTAAATATTTTTCAAAATAATATAGTTGTGAATCCCATAGATCAAATATGATACAATAAAACATTCGGATTTAAATTCATCTATTAACTATGTATCAGAGTACCCCAAGCAAGGCAATAAAGCCACTAAGACAAAATGCGTAGGGAAGAGTTAGAAATGAGAAACTTTATTAAGGCGCAAAAACAAAGAGTAACCAGGACAGTAGAAATCGATGGACATTTTATTTTATTTATTTATTTATTTATTTTTTGAAGATTAAAGTTGACTGGAAAGCTTGGAACCGGAAGAGAAGTGAGAAGTGCGACAGAAGAAACTGTTAGCATAGAACTTACGGTTACATCTCGCCAACTCAACTGTAAATTATCGAGAACTTTTTGCCTTTAAATTAAAAAAAAAAACAAACAAAAACAGACAAACTAGGTACCATGGCGAAATAGTTGCCATGAAAGTATAGGAAAACAATTTCGAATGGGACAAATTATTTAAGAAAAATCTCTTCCGCTGTATGGAAGATCGTTAGAGTTTTTAAAAAAGAAAGAAAACCAAACGGTCGAAAGCTATCCATTTTTAAGATTAAATCCCTAAAAAGAAAAATATTTTTAACCGCTAGTTTGTATCAACATATTTTGATCACTAGCGTAAAGGTGTGATAAAAAAAAAAAAAAAAAAAAATAGACGGCGGAGGTGGGAATTTAAAATAAATTATTTTCTTCCCGCGTCAAAAGAACATGAACCACAAACACTGTTTGTCGTCAATCAAACTCGGAATTTACTGACATGTTCTGACCGGCATTTAATTAACTATGAAGAAATAATAACAATAATTAAAGCCTCACCGCAGATATCCTTTACGACAAGACTTCCTTTTGTGCAAGTCATTACAGTCTTCCCCGCTTTGAAAGATCGTTTCTTCACACCGTAAATGACGTTGTCAAATCTGAAAGAAATAAAAAATAGAATAATAAAATCGTAAAATACACTAAAAACAAAACAAAAAAAATGTTTCCCTTAATTTATCCATACAATATTTGCAAAATATTTCCCCAAAACGAAACGTTTCAAGACTCTCACTGCTTTAGCGTAATTTCCATGAAAAGTGTCCAGACGAACTACATTCCATAGTTCTACCAGTTTTAACCTTAACATCTAAGACCCGACATGCCACGCCCACTGTAGCGAACCACCCTCATTACCTTTGTATTCCATTAGTCAGATGTAAGTTCCACTCGAGCAGCAGCTTCCTATAAACCGATGTTTTGTAGGACTGACTCCCAAGAGGATGCTTCCCCAATCGCTACAATCTTGACCTGTCAAGTCTAGGATCAACCGTAATCTTCCCCACATATCTCCAAAAACTATACCGCTTACTCTGTAAACCTTTACCTCGAGTGTCTCTTAGAAGTAACACCCATGGACAATGGAATAACTGATTAAATTTTAGGAAAAATCCAAGGATATAATCCAATGCTTAATCTGGTCTGGCGCTTCTGCTATATATTTAGAGATTCTTGATAAAATACAAAGAAGAATCTGCAATGTTATTGGTTCTCACCTGGTATCTCGCCTTCAGTCACTTTCCTACCGCTGTAATATGGCTTCCCTGGGCCATTTCTATGAATATTTTCAGGGTAATTGTTCTGATGAGCTTTCCTCTTTGGTACCGAGACTTTATAATTTTAAGCGCAGTACTAAGTTGGCGGCAAGGTTTCATCATTTTTACAGTTGAATTGGTTAGATGGAACCGTAAGTTCTATGCTAACAGTTTCTTCTGTCGCACTTCTCGCTTGTGCAGCTCTCTTCCGGTTCCTTGCTTTCCAGTTAACTTTGATCTTCAAAAATTTAAATGTCAATCGTTATCTTTATTCTCGTTATTTTATTGTTCTCTCTCCTTCGTAATGTTTTCTCATATTCTCTCACACTCAGTAATCCCTTGTATCCTAGTGGCTTTATTGCCTTACTTGGGGTGAAATGATTAAAACGAAATTGTTAAAATGATTCATTTTTTTATTATATCCTTTTAAATTAAACTAAAATATTCTAGAAATTCAAGTCACAACTTACCCATTAAATTCCTTTCATGTTATTTTCCAAAAGTATTTAATATTTTTAACTATGTATAAATTATAATTAAACATTTTCAGACAATTTATATATTTCACATTTGATTCAAAAGTGCCCACGAATTTTAAAAATAGTAAAGTATTATTTGTAAAATACAGAGATTTGAATATAATAGTAAATATTTCTGCGAACCGAATGAAGATCAATAAATACGAACCTCATTTTGAATTGCAACAATTCATGAACTGTTCCTTCTTTCACTGCCTAACGAAGGCGCATACACATGAAACTGGCAGTTTGAAATCAAAACATTGTCTGTAGGTGATACACCCATAGGCAAATGGTCCGAAATCACAGAGGTCCACGGCGCCGTGATGTGTTTTGTCCAAAACATTGTACTAAGCCGGAGAATTCATTATTTTTTTGTCGCAACTCGAAATAGGCAGGGTACAGTTCATTTCTCCGAGACAACAAGCGCTATATATGTTTTAATTAAAAGGTGTATTTTTCAGTAACCCTAAAATCATATATATATATATATATATATATATATATATATATAAAACCCAATTATAGCTTCTTTCTCTTTACTTCCTCTCCCTCTTCTTTCTTTTTCCTTTTCCTTTTCTCCCTACTCCCCTCCCATTTCTATCTATCACTTCCGTTAAGTTAACCATCTAAATAGGTCAAGGTCTGGTAACTCCTCCTCCCACAATATAAAGTATACTTGAGAGAGATATGAAATTAATCCCTCCCTATACTCTACCATGTCTATTTAACTATCCCTCTTACACTCTGTTAAATTACCAAAACTTACACTACCCATCAATTTTAATTTCATTTTTCGTTTCATTTCATTTTTGGAAGTGCTATCTGATGATCCGGCGCCTTTAAAAGGGCTCTGGTGAAATAAATTATTATAATGGTACCTTAAAGTGGTCTGTTTTTCTTTTAAATATATATATATATATATATATATATATATATATATATATATATATATATATATATATATAAGACATTGAAGTCAACACCCAGCGGCGAGAGTCTGTTTCCTTTCTTAAACGCATTCATCAGGCCATGTGCTTTGTGTTTTTGTTTGACTATTCATATATACTGGTCTGTGATGTATTATAGGTAGGCCTATTGTATTAGTCGAGCGGTTATGTTTCGGATTGTTTTAGAAGCTATTGAGTGGAAATGATTGTGTATCTGGGTGAAGTTTTGTGGCTATCAAATTTTAACAAACAACACTATCAAATAATCGCAAAACTGCATCCCGGATCGCTTGGGATTGACTTCGGTCTCCTCTTCTATATTTGCATACGCCCTATCCTTGATAGTGAACCCTTTAACTCATGAATATATACCGTAAAACCATATTTTAACTCCGGCAGAATTTGAATCTGTGCAAGCCCTAGGCAGAGGGAACCGTCATTAGATTCGACGTGCTCTAATCGACTAAACTACAGAGAACTTATACGATCAGTTCTCGAATATTCAGGCCAGTAGACGAAATTAAATAAAAATACAGTAGGTATCTACACTTGTTCGCTAAAAGTAGCATAGTATCATGGAAAAAAGTCCCACATTTAAAAACAAAATTTTATCACCAAAATGTTTGTTATTATTAAGAGGTTTTTTATTATTTTTTGAAACTGTTTACTCCTTCCTAATACTTTCGAAATTTGGGTTAAAAATCTTGATTTTTATGTACCAACGGTGTAACAGAGCTGGTAATGGACATTTTCGCTCTTGTTTTCCGGTAAAATAACACATTAATTTGGAAATTCTAGCAAAAATCAAATAATTGTCGGATTTTAGTAAAACTTTAATGATTTATTAAAAAATGAATGAATTTATTATTGAAATTATTATTTTTACAAAATCTTTTTATATCTGTCATCCCCAACTAACTTAATTTCATGAAATTTTCTAGAATTTAAAATCATCAGAGAAATGTTTTTATTAGTTAAAAGCAGGACTCCTTGTAGAATGTAAATCATTTTTTTAAACTATTACCAACTTTTCTAAAAGTTGCTTCAAATCGTAAAATAAAAGCTGTAATAAATCTATCTAATAATTTAATTAGATAAGCTTTTAATTGTTTTTGTAAATAATATATATTAAGGACATTGTAGTCTGAAGGAAGAATTTTCGATTAGTAATGAATTTTTACAAGAATTGTTTGCATTTTTCTTTTTTTAATTATAAATATTAAAAAAATGTAAATTCTTCCAAACATCGTCAGAGTTAGATTATTAAGTTATTAAGTTAAGAAGTAAAAATTAAAAAGCTTAATACAAATCATCCGACCAAAATGTTTTACAATAATTAAAATATTGTATCTAGATGTTCTTTTTTTTTAAATATGGTGTTTCAAAAGTGACATGATGATTAAAAGATCACGTTTTTCAACGGTTTTCCCTCTTTATGCTCACAAACATTTTAGTTTTATTTAGTTACGAAAAATAATTTGTTTTTATTTAGTTTTTAATTTTTTTTAACTTTCTTTATTCTTTTTTGTGAGTAATATTTTGATAAAAACGTTTGAAAAGTAATTCTTTATTTTATTTTAAATCTAATTTTTAGTTTAATTATCTTTATAATTTATTTCATTTACATTTGAAATTAGTTTTCTTTTTTCATTTTATTTTTAATTGTGGTAGATAGCTCCACTAATTTTCGATACATAAGTTTTAAAAATGAATTGAAAAAACAAAAATGACAAAGCTTTCAGTTTAGCTTTAATTGAAAGCTAAAGGATTAAAAAATTATTATTTCTAGCAAGCCAAGTAATATTCCAAGCAGAAATTATATACTGATTAGAATGTTTTTGTCAGAAAAAAGCAATAAAAATCTTGCCATTTTTTGTAAACAAAAGTTAATTCTCGTTCTTAAAAAAATTGCAAAATAATATATCTTTTCTGAAACGTTATTTGAGGAAAATTAGGAAATTTAAAGGTAAACTAATCTGATTTGAAACAACAAATTTTAAATGTGTACACAGCTGACGCAAAAAAGTAACCAACATTTCGAATGTGGTAGAAAGGATTAAAAAAATTAGAGTAACTCAATAATTTATGAAATGTTATTAATTTAAGAAATTTTTATAGTATTTAAAAGTTTATTATATTTTCAGAAAGCAACTTCAATCTTAAGTACACAAAAAAATTTGATAAAATATTAAATAACTGCTTAAAATATTTTGTTAATTTTTAAAAATTACTTGGTAGTTAAAAAACAAAAACAAACCGTTTTACTTAGAATTGGTAAATTTATGTAAATTCTGGTCCGCCATACTTAACCTGTCAACACTCTCGGCCATCAATATGTCGATGAAGATGTGAGAATAACAAGACACCGTGGTCAAGAAATGCTTGTATTAAAATTTTATGTTATAAGTAAATAATATTTCTTTCAGAACAGGTTAATGTAACATTAATTTTGCTAACTTTCAGCAAATAACATTTCATAAATATATATTTTATTTTTGCGAGATTTTTAAAAACGAGAATTAACTTTTGTTTACAAATCTCATAAATGGCCGTTTTCAATCTGTTTTTTTTTTTTTTCGACTAAAACTCATTCTAATTTCTACTTGAAATACACCACAGTATTTTGCTTTTTGGAATTAGAAAAATTAACCCTTTAGCTTTCAATTGAAGCTAAAAAGAAAGCTTCAAGAAAGATTTTTCATTTATGAAAAAACATTAGGTATACCGACTTATTGGAGGTACCTAATATACAGTTTAATAAATAAACGGAGCGTCTACTCAAATACGAGTATCCACGAAAAATAACGCTTAAAGGGATAATATATATATATATACATATATATATATGTGTGTGTGTCTGTGTCTGTGCTCAACACTCAGCGGCAACAGTCTGTTTCATGCTTAAATACAATCGTCAGGCCTGAAGATTGAGTTCAAGAATGAAACAGTTTCGCCACATGGTGTTGACTTGAATGTCCACTTTTATATTTACATCCGCCCTATCTCTGATAATGAACACTTTAACCAATGAATATAGCATACCTTAAAACTGTAGAGATGTCTAATATTTTTCGTTTATGAATAATCCTGATATGGCACAGACACAATTTTTCTATCCTTCTACAGACCTTATTAAACCTATTTTCATGAAACGAAAGAATGGTTGGAAATTATCAAGCTATTCATATGGGAACAGCTCAAAATAATATTCGAAGACTGTTAAACAAGCAGAATGGACAAAGTTTGTATGGGGTGGGGGGGTCAACAAAAAATGAAGGTAAAGAAAGACTCTCTAAAGTTATGAATTTCTTAAAGGAATTCGAACAAAATCTGTATCCTTTTAATAACATGAAGGTGTCATGATTTCCGGATCGTAGGTATATTCCAGATTTAGAGCAGAAATTTTCAGAGTTCTGAAGACATCACAACTAGATAGATTCATTGAAGGAGATATTTTCATATGGGTGAATTGAAAGCACAATGTCGACAAAGACGAAACTTCACACTTGCTAATTTGCAGTTAATTTTGCGGAGCGCTGTAAGTTAATAGGAAACAAAAAAGGAAGCAAACAAAAAGAAAACAAACAAAAAAGGAGAAAAACAAAAAAAAAAGGAGAAAAGAAAAAAGAGAAAAGAAAAAAGAGAAAAGAAAAAAGAGAAAAGAAAAAAGGGAGAAAAACAAAAAAAGGAGAAAAGAAAAAAGAGAAAAGAAAAAAGAGAAAAGAAAAAAGAGAAAAGAAAAAAGGGAGAAAAACAAAAAAGGAGAAAAGAAAAAAAGAGAAAAGAAAAAAGAGAAAAGAAAAAAGGGAGAAAAACAAAAAAAGAAAAAAAAAAAAGGAGAAAAGAAAAAAAAAGAAAAAGAAAAGAAAAAGAGAAAACAAAAAAGGAGAAAAACAAAAAAAGGAGAAAAGAAAAAAGAGAAAAGAAAAAAGAGAAAAGAAAAAAGAGAAAAGAAAAAAGGGAGAAAAACAAAAAAAGGGAGAAAAACAAAAAAAGGAGAAAAGAAAAAAAGAGAAAAGAAAAAAAAAACAAAAAGAAAAAAAAAAAAGAAAAAAGAAAAAAAAAAAAAGAAAAAGAGAAAACAAAAAAGGAGAAAAAGAAAAAGAGAAAAGAAAGAGAAAAGAAAAAGAAAAAAAAAAGGAGAAAAACAAAAAAAGAAAAGAAAAAGAAAAAAAGAAAAAGAAAAAAGAAAAAAAAAAGGAAAAACAAAAAAGGAGAAAAGAAAAAAGGAGAAAAGAAAAGAAAAAAGAGAAAAAAGAAAAAGAGAAAAGAAAAAAAGGAGAAAACAAAAAAGAAAAGAAAAAGAAAAAAGAAAAAAGAAAAAAGAAAAAGAGAAAAGAAAAAGAGAAAAGAAAAAAGGAGAAAACAAAAAAGAGAAAAAAAAGAGAAAAGAAAAAAAAGGAGAAAACAAAAAAGGAGAAAAGAAAAAAGAGAAAAGAAAAAGAGAAAAGAAAAAGGAGAAAAACAAAAAAGGAGAAAAGAAAAAAAAAGAAAAAGAAAAAAAAAAAAAAAAAAGAAAAAGAGAAAAGAAAAAGGAAAAAACAAAAAAGGAGAAAAAAGAAAAAGGAGAAAAAAAAAAAGGAGAAAGAAAAAAGAGAAAAGAAAAAAAAACGAGAAAAAACAAAAAGAGAAAAAAAAAAGAAAAGAAAAAGAAAAAAGGAAAAAACAAAAAAGGAGAAAAAAAAAAAGAGAAAAGAAAAAAAAGAAAAAAGAAAAAGAAAAAAAAGAAAAAAACAAAAAGGAGGAAAGAGAAAAGAAAAAAAAAAAGGAAAAAAAAGAAAAAAGGAGAAAAAAAAAAAAGAGAAAACAAAAAGAGAAAAAAAACAAAAAGGAAAAAAAAAAAAAAAAAAAAAAGGAGAAAAGAAAAAAGAGAAAAGAAAAAAGAGAAAAGAAAAAAAGAAAAAGAGAAAAGAAAAAAGGGAGAAAAACAAAAAAAAAGGGGAAAAATGGAAAAAAAGAAAGGAAAAATGACGTAATAGTTCACTTACTTCACTGAAAACTTCTCTTTATTTATCGACTTTCGCAGACGCTTTATTGTTTTCTTTAATCGTCGCTCCGTCTTTTTCCTCATGCAGGCAATGTCACACGAGTCTAGAAATGACAATTGTAGTTCATCAACGATACAGATATTTGCAAGGCTTAATTTAATGTAGCACAAAGTGAAAAGAACTAAATAGGGGTTAGGAATATTGTGCTGCGTCAGTCTTTCAATTGATAGACTTGTTATGAAGACAGACTTTCATCATTCTTTAAAACCAGATTACGAACATTAATCATTGATACAAGTGAGAAAAATACGCAACTATCTCAATGACAGGGCAAGTACAAGCTTTTAAATTAAAATTAATAATGGGAAAAACAACGTTAAAATCCAAAGAGGATACTCCTCAACTGACAAACAAATACACACACAAATAAATAAAATAAATTCACAAGATTTGTGAAAAAATACCTAACCTTATAATAAAGAATATTTTCTGTAATCCAAGTAATAAAAAGGAGTTATTTTTTATAAGAAATATATTTAACATAATCTTCTTTGTCAATGCACTTAATTTAGTTAGTATTAGCCCTTTGAGCCCTAGATTCCTGAACAATTTTAACCCTTCTGACTGAGTTCCTCAGTCAAAATTCGCAAATAATTGGTATGTAACAGTAAATATAAAAATAGTTACAAGTTTTTTAGCCACCGTTCAACCGGTGTTTGGGTCTTAAGTAATTTTTCTCTACCGTTGTTTAACCGGTAGCTGTTCCTTACGTCATTTTTCTCTACCACCGGTAAAGCGGTGGTCATGGCTCAAAGGGTTAATCACATAGATCAAATATTATACAATCAAAATTTCAGATCAACATTCAGCTAGTAGCTACACTTCAGACTACTAATACGTTAACCCACTCTCATATGTGTTTATGACATTCTAAGTCCGTATCCTCATCATAAGGAAACATTGGCATTCATTGACCAAACAGTAAGTGCTACTTTCTGTTGGAATTCATATTTCTATTAAAACAATTTTTCAGGAAAATAGGTTAATACTAGCAGAAACCACATAAGCACCAACAGATAAAATGGGCATCACATGTAACTCGAAGAGAAAAACTGACATAAACAAGATGTTTACATTCCACTCTACTTCAAATAAAAAGGGTAGGAAGGAACCCGCCCATTAATACTGGAAAGAGCGATAACAGCTACTGGACTAGTAGTAGCTGTTCGGCTCAGTGAATGCCGAATGTTTCCTTATAAGGAAACGGCTACATTACAATTATCATTTATCCTAAGCTTTTCTTCGAAGTTGTATGAAAATTCAACATCTTGATTATATCATCATTTTATCTTTAGGTTACTTGTGCTATCCATTTTAGTAGTTGCTGATCTTGGTAGTCCTCGAATATTGTGGTTTCTTGGTATGTGATTCTGTAGCGCCACTATATAAGGTTTGAAGAAAAATTGTCCTTGGTAAAAACTACAGTGTCCATTTGCTTGTATTCAAATGGAACAAATTATTTACCCAAATCTCCTTTTCAGTGCATGTATGAAAGATGGTCAGAATTTTATTAATAAAAAACATGATTGTTTTTCTTAATTGGATATTTATTTGAGACGACTTAACTTATAAATACAATAAGTTGGAAGAAACGAGCTACTTTTTCTTAAGAATATTTTCCTATATAAATTGCTCTTACCGGTTGGTGATTTGGGGCGGACTTCAATCTCAAACTCGGCTGTAATGAGAGCCTTTTGCTTGCCTGTTTCTTGCCAGAAACGCCTACGTTTGGTACCACATTCAAGGCTGACGTTGTTCACGCGACAGGACTTAGAACATTTGTAGCGCTTCTTCTCTACCGTACAGGAAAAAAGAAAATCATGCAAAATGGATCAATTTAGCAATCAACAAAAGTTTTTCATTTTAATTATGCACGAATCAAATAAATATAATTTTATTACTTTGTCAATGCTATGTCCTTTTAATACGTAAGCGGTTATGGGTCTCCAAACGTTTCTTTATTATCTGTGAATTGTCATGACTTTAGGGATTGCAACAAAATTATATAAAATTAATGTAATTATCACTAATAAGATATATTTAATTCAAGCGATACATTAGTTATCTCCCTTATATATCATCGCATTTTAAGACAAGTAAATTTAATTTATACTAACCGGGATATGTCCTATTTGTAGAACGTATTGAAGTAATAGAAAAAAATAAGAAAAGAGATGCTAATAGTTATGATTAAGATTAAAGTGAACAGAAGATTCACTATTGAAGTTATAATAGCTACAACTAAAAAGAAAAAAGCAGATTATAATGATAGCGTTGCGTAAATGATTATATATATATATATATATATATATATATATGTGTGTGTGTGTGTGTGTGTGTGTGTGTGTGTGTGGCTTTAAAATATCCAATATTTTCTCAGAAATGTATACTAAAGCATTTTATAATATATTAAAAAAATGACATTCAGATAAGGCCAACGCATCAGCAGAAAAGACACAAGTGCTATGGAGTAGGTACTCCGGCAGGTTTAGAATCACAGGCATCAGGTTTCCCTAATCTTTTTGAGGAGGGAGAAAACAGATTCTACATTATGATCCGCAACATACTTGCTTGCCCACTGGGAGCATTTTTATCCACCACCTCACGGCGGTAGGATGTATCAAAAAGCCGGTTTAATGTATGGCACCCATAAGCGTACCTAAGTGCCAAGGATTTTGCCCAAGTCACTATACTCACCAGTTCTAGAAAACTTACAATGAATAACGAAAAGAAAACACAAAGTCGAAATAATGTGGCTTGTCGTATATAAATGCCATGGAAAAATACCCAGGTCTGGTGACTAGTAGACAAGTCAATTTAGTGTAGTCATAGCAACAAATAAATTACTAAATAAACCACCAACCCTTATTATTAGACTATGTAGTTGACTGAAACCAAAATACATAATAATTAATAATAAAACAAAAAAAGTTAAACAATAGAAATACTTTACAATACAGATAAGATTGTTAATTAACAATAAAGAAAGAAAAGTTAAATTATAAAAAAATATAATTAAATAAATATAAAATACTCCCATGATGCATCAGAACAAGGCTTTTACCTCCAAATGATCAAAAATCAAAACTTTCTCTTTATTTTTCGAAGGCCGGATGAGGGAGACGTCCTGGACATTTCTCTAATAAAACATGTTGCCACCAACAGATAAGCAAAACTTCTTTAATTCTGTATACATATATGTCCTTTAAAATATACAACCTTTTCTCTGAAATTTATACTAAAGCATTTTATGGTTTTTGTCTGTGCTTATATGATTTTGTTTGTAATTTTATAACCCCGTTGTGGGCTTATGATGTCCACTTAACTCCACAAAATACATATAATATATAAAACATGACATTCAGACAAGGCCAACGCATCACCAGAACATCCATAACAGATTCAAATCGATAAAGGGTTGGCATTAGAATGCAAACAGGCGTTTATGATGATTGATTGAAAGAAACACAAATCAATCAAAATCGAAAGAAACGGAGGTAAAAATAAAATTGCCTAAGGACAAAGGAAATCTTTGAAAGACCGGAAAAAATATCAAAGTCACATAAATTGAACAGGATTTGGTAAAAGTTGACAAAAATCAAAGGAAAATAATAGAATAAAAAAATCGGTATACATTTCAAAAACACATTAAGAAAAATCAAAGTAGAATGCTATAGAAACCCGTAGAAATAAAAAAAAAGTTCGATGACCTTTTTGTCTTATTTTTTTCTTTTTAAGATCATTTGAACGCCACCCTGTGTAATTCACCTTCATTGGTATCTCTCCTTGCAATTGTGGTTACTTGGTAATGTCCATCTCCTCTCCGCGTAACATTCTGCCTGTTAGCAGAACCTTGAATAAGCAGATTCCTTGTCCCAACAGATGAAGGGAGAGATACCCTAAAAGTAAATGACAACTACAAAACAACGAACATTTATCCGCCCAAACCAAGTAAATGCTTATAGACCCAACTATAATCGATCAATATTTATTTACTCACGAATTAATTAAGGGTTATATACTAATAAATAATAAAAAAAAAACCCAGACTAATTTCGATATTAAATAACCTAACAAAAATCGATAATATTTACATCATTTACGCTCGAAATGTTGTCCTCTTTGTTATTATCACAACGTTTCGTCCGTTGTACACTCTGGCCTTCATCAGGCAGCAACTGAACCGAGTAACCTTTAAGGAATTTTGAACTGAACCTTTTATTTAATCCCCAGGATTAGATTGGTTTAATTTCGCTGTCCATGTTCAGGGAATACATTTTATTTAGTGTTACTCCTGTCCAGTTATTACTCGCCCTGTTTTGCACTGAGTAAGTCTTTACTACCTGGCCCAGGGATTGAACTCACAATTAATGTGTCACCAAATTCACGAACCAACGTTTTGATCCACTATTGTCACGTGGAACAATCCGGAGTGTAGAACGTGGAGTCTTAAACCTAATCTGACTGCTACTCTTGACTCTATTAAACGAGGCTTCTCTTTTCCCACTGCTGCTGAAGCCATAGATTTACCTTAACCTCCCACTGAGTCAGGTTGTGACACAAGGACGGTTTTTAACGTGGGGACCCAAGTGTTTCCACTCGGGCCGCTAGTCTTAGCTAGTCATAGCCGGTCATACCACCGCTACTGAACAGATATTACGCAACGGTGGTGGGGACGCAAGGGAGGAGAGAAGGCCTCCGGAACGGAACAGATACTACAACCGCAGCATCTACGCTGACGGAAAAAAAAACACCCTTCTCCTCCCTTGCCAATTCCTCAGAAAGGACCTGGAAGGAAAGCCCCATTGCTGCTGAAGCCCTACTGTTCACAAGTCGTAAAATAAACAGTACCGCCCCATCTAAATTAACAGGAGATAAGTGGTAAGAAATGACATGGTACCAGCTGCAAAGCGTAATCCTTAATAGGTTTAGAAAAGAGCGAATGTCTTTTCCAGGGTGTTAATGAAATGTCTCAGCTGGTATCCGAAATCAATTTCATTTTCCCTGACACTAACCGTTAAGCCACTCATGACTCCGAAATATTTTTTACAATTCAACAATAGTCGAAATAGCAATGGAAAACAAAAGGTCGATAATATTTACTAGAATAAGACAAATGTATCATCAGGTCAGTTGCGTAGAGAGAGTCCAACGAAGAAGAACAACCTGACTAATATTAATTTAAGTGACAAACAAACCAGAAGCACTGGCCAGAAGAAAAGACAAATGGGGTCAGTAACTCTTATAACTAACTCGAACATAATAAAAAGATTATCCAAAAAAATTAAAAAGAAGAATCACTCAATGAGATTAGCGCTCACATACTGCAGGGACGCCATTTTGTATAACTACAAATATTACGATGTTAGGCAAAGTTATTTTAATCTCTTTATTCTTTCACGACTGTTTTTATTTTCAATCCCACACGTGCTGTAGAAGTCCTACCAATGGCACAATTCATATTTACTGAGTTTTTCAATCTATCGCATTTATCTTAGTACAGAATATTTCCATGACTATGCATTCTGAAGATTTTAGAAAATTTTAGTAAAATTAAAATTAATTATATTAGAAAGCATCTATATCTTGAGTAAATTCAAATTCCAACCTCATTCCTAAAAAGTCAAACAAAATAGATAAGTAACAAACTTTTAATATAATTAGTTGGAAACGACAGAAGCCAAAGAGAAGATTGTGATGTATTTTCATGTATTTTCCTATAGAAATGATTTCGTCAAAATAAGGCTTTAAACATATTGATATTTGAATTGTCAAATTTCTATTTTGTTTACCAATGTGAACCTTCGAAAAAGGACACTACATTATTTTGACACTTGCAGACAATCTTGTTTAGAAAAATTGAAGGATCAAATAAACCACGACAAAACCTTCACCTTTTTCTGTTTTAAATTGTTGTGTAAAATTAACACTATATTTTTAACCAATAGAAATAGTTCTTAACTGTTAAGTCCAGTTGAAGCCGATTGTTTTTCTATAAATTTAGAAATCAGAATTATCCAGTATTTGGTAAAGAAAAATTCAAGTGTATAATGATGTGAAACACCATTAGTAACCTGTTCGATTCTATAATAAGGGGTCTGGATAGGGAGTAATCAATACGCACTGTGTAGAGTTTGAGACAAGTTCTCTTTGAAACTTTCAATCACATGTTTCTTTGTTCGACATCTTTCACCAGTCATCAGGAAGGAGGCTTTTCGTTTGAAACTCGGTGGAGAAACGGCCTCTGTACAAAAGAAGGAACAGGACAAAAAGCATTTAAAACAGTATAAATTTTAATAAAAATCAATATTTAAAACATTTATACCAATGTGTTTAGTATGCCTGAAGTCAGATGGATTGGCTTCGGCGAAAATCACGTTACAATGTACGACATTCTGTGAAAGACCATCAATGCAATGCACCATTGAAGGTGGACGTAGGAGAGGACGCCAACGCAAAAACTGGATGGACAATATCAAACAATGGACAGGTATGACTATACAAGAACTGCTGATACCTGCCGTTGATAGACTGTTGTGGAGGAGATTCAATATGGCGGCTTCTACATTCGGATCCCAGCACGATTAAAAACGCCACGGGGCATAATGATGATGATAATTGATTTTAGTAGTAATACTATTAGAAATGCATACACACCATTATACATATATATATATATATATATATATATATATATATATATATATATATATATATAGTACGAGGCAAAAAAAATGGACGCACCCATAGAAAAAGTCGATTTTTGTATTTTTACTGAGACAAGTGAGCAATAGAATTCAGGTATTAATACAGGTGAACATATGTACATTATACAAGTCAAAAAAGGATTTAGTATTTTGTTGGGTAACCTTTTGCTTTAATAATGGCCTTAATTCGTCGTGGCATGTTATAGAGTAAATTCTTTAGTAAGTCAACGTCTTTCGCCAGATTTTTCCAGCATAAATTTTGAGAATGCAAACGTTGATTTTTTTTTATCGTGTTTAACAGTCTCTGGAGTATTCGGTTCACCTGGAGTACACCAAACATATATTCGTCCTTCATAATTAAGAGTAAAGGGACTCTCTTCACTCCACATAACATCTTCCCATTCAGATTTACTCAAATGTAGTCTTCCAATGATATTACTGTATTACTTGTTCTTGTATTGTCCTCATTAACGTAATTTAACGAACCCACCTGGAATTGGAACTCGGATCTCCAATTAACAATTCTGAGCCATTATCCATTACACCAGTACATCGAAGCTTACCACACCTGGTTTTCCCAAGCGGTCACCCATCTAGGTACTGACCAGGCTCGATGTTGGTTAACTTCGGTGTTCGTGCAGGAACCAGTCTTTCTATGATAGCTTGAATGATATTACTTTGTCTTGTATTGTTCTCATTACTTTTTGGTAGAGAAAAACAAGACTTTCGGATCACGCACTGCGATCTGAAATCTTTTTGGTAGTGGGTGACAAGATTGTAATACTGTGCTTAAATTCATCAATTCAATATTGTTGACACATCTTATCTGGTACTTCTGGTGTGTATCTGGAGATTTTTGACAAAATCCAAAGAAATATCTGCAATTTTATCAGTTCTGAACTGGCATTTCAGCTTCAATCAATTTCTCACCGCAGTTTCTTTGTGCCTTTTCTATAAATATTTTTTTGTGATCATACATGACAGAAAGGTGGAAATCATATATAAAGAAGCATCATATTCGAAAAAAAAACAAAACAAACACCTGTGACTTACCTGAGCATCCTGGTAGAATAGTATATGTTTGGTTATTAAACGACCATTCAAAATTAGTTTCTTTATTGCAGATGAACGTGTATTCTGTATGAAGTGTTTCTGTGGTGAATCGGGATCCTGGGTTGCATTGGAAGATGCATATTTCAGTTTCATCGACTTTCTGGCACTTAAGTTGAACTTTAGGTGGGGCTTGTAGACGCAAACAAACTCCATCCTCTGATTTGAAACAGTTAAAAGAGAACAAATATAGCGTATGAAATCGAGCATTTAATCAGAAATCGATAATAATTGTTCTGAGAGAGGTTTTAATTTACACTAATGACCGGCTACATCTCGTTTCCGAGCAATCCAATCTTCCAAGGAAGCTATCCAATCCCTGTTGCAGATGCCTGCTCAGGCACATCTGCGTTTTTTCAACCCGCACAGAGTCTAACGTTGGTTTATACTGCAAATATGCCGAGCGGCCATTAGCTATATTTTGAGAGAGAGAGAGAGAGATCAGTCTTTTGAACAAGGCCCGTACGTTCAAACCCTCGATCACGCTGACTTGCAACTTCGGGCTAGCACAACCATCAAGGGCTTTCTCAAACACTTCCGTTTACCTAGTTCCACTTACAAGGTTTGGGTCAAGCCGTGATATGGTTTTCAAGGTGCTGCACGCTGGGGTCGCCCCCTCAGATCGATAACGACAAGAAATCACCTTCCTTACAAATCGACCAGAAAACGAACGCCCAAGTCAATGTTTCACAATTAAAATTGATACTAACCAACTGAGGTTAGTAAACTTTTCAGGATATATTTATATTTTTGTGAATAAATAAATAGAAATAAATATACTAATTTAATATATGTTAAATATACAATGAGCATTTCAATTTAGGTCTCTTTTTATTGGAAATGTTTACAATAACTTATTTGATCCTGTAGTATTTTATTAAGCAGTTCGAAGTTTTTCATCGTAGTAGAAAGAAATATATGTATTTAATAGCATAATTATAGATATTTATAGTTTTACCTCATATAAAATGTTGCCGCAGGTTGTAAGAAAGATACAACCTCACAAGAAAAACTAGATATTGTAAATTTAGAGTAATGCGGACAAAACATTGTAAATTTCAACAAATTTGAAGATCAATTATAGAATAATAATAATAATAAAAAAAAGTAAGTAAAATGTTGGTAAAATAGTAAAGAGAAAACTAGCTTTAAGAATGCCACAAAAATATATGTAACAAAAGTTAAATGGGTAATTAACAAAAAATATTTAAAAACTGTAATGTAAACAGAGAAGAGAGAGAGAAACTAAGAAGATTGCTTCTTCTTCTTCTTCTTCTTCTTCTTCTTCTTCTTCTTCTTCTTCTTCTTCTTCTTCTAAGTGCCCTGTACCTTCACGACGTTGGTGATCATGGCTCTCCACAATTTCCTGTCCTTTTTAGCTCTTAATAAATGTTGTATCCGCTATCCATTTACTCAATCTCTCCAGGTAGGTTATGCATATGTCATGTGAGTATCAAACTTTCCACGCCCTCTCTCTTCATTATGTGCCTAAAAAAATTTCAGCTGTCTCTTCCTGATTGTTAAGTATAAGTGTCCATTTTGTTTCCATTTTCTCTAAAGCTTCATCGTTGCTCGCATGTTCGGTCTATGGTATGCTCAGTATCCTTCTGTAGAACCACATTTCTTCAAGTCTCTTGTTCACCATTCAGAACATTGTCCAGCCGACAGAGTAAAGAAAATTAAGAACGCTAACAAAGATGTCAATATGGTTTCTGAAACAATATATTCTAAAAATTCTTCAAGCTGATATATATATCCTTATTTTCATATGTGGCATTTAATTCACAAATACAGAACAAAAAAGTGAATAAAGGCCCGGATAAAGAGAGAATATATGAGGCGATCGACGGAGGAGAGGCGTATTCAACATTTGATAATTTTGTGGCAATTCGTGCTTAAAGGTTTTGGGCAGTTTTGATCAACATTTCTTTTCATGGTTAGCTATAAGGAATTGTAAATGTAGGAATACCTTACACTTAAGCAAGATAATAACAATAATAATATTTATTAAGAATTTATAACAAGAAATATCAAGTTTTACGGAAACATATTTAATTACATAACAAATATATAAAAATTATATAAATTTTGATGCTATATTCGATTTGTTGTGAGGTATTTTTCATTTTCTCCTTTGTTATTGGCAGCATTTTAGAATACCTTGGCTTCAACGCTAAGTTGAACAAACTGAAGCTATTTCGTTTATGCTTTGTTCTCTCTCTTTTCCATTGTTTTTTTTAGATCGCTTTCTTCCAGTCATTTTGATGGGCAATAATGAAATTCTGAAATTTAGAATGACCTTATTCCATTTAAAAAATAAAGCCTGTAAAAGGGGATATTTGAAATTAATATACGACCAAAAATAAAATGCTTTTGGCAAAAAGCTTAATGGTTACTAACAATAATGTAATGATATTACGCAGACAAATCTATGCTTACCTCATCTCATTGCATGGTTACCAACTATAAACCTAAATTGATGTTGAAATATTGTGTAATCGGTTCTAAATTTTTTTCTGAAATATTTGGATATGGTATAATGAATAAGTTGCTGTGAAAAAAGCAATTTTCTATTTTTGATGAATACATACATCCTCCACCGAACACGTCATATAGGGCTAATAAAGTCGCTATAACTGATTATTTCTTTAACAAGGTAAATCAATTATTGAAACCTCTTCCGAGGCTACGTTTTCTTCAGCCTGATACCATTAAAGTTACATTATATTTAAAAACAGAACAAAATCGTTTTCTCTCTCCAAATCCGTCTCCATTAACACTCCACGTTTATCCACCAAATGTATTTCATTTCACTTACTGATGCAATCGAGTTTGTTTTGATGCAGGCGATAACCTTCCCGGCATTTGCACTTGAAGCTTCCAACTGTATTTTCGCATTCGTGCTCACACCCGCCAATGTTACTTTTGCATTCATTGATATCTGTGAAGAATGTGAAAAAGGAAAAAAAAAAAAAAAAATAGAATTTAGTAATATGTCATTAGATTCTCATTTAAAAGTACTCGACAAAAATCGGTAACAGAATTAATGATTAATAGAATGAAGAGATTTGAAAAAAAAAGAATCGGACGATTATTTTTACTGAAGCTAAATTTTAGTTTTAATATCATTCTTTTAATCAATTCACCCCAAACAAGGCGATAATGCTGCTAAGACGTAAGGGGCTTCTGTGAGTGAAAGAGAATGAAAAAAAAAGGATAAATATCTACTCCTGTAGACAGAGAAAGAAAATGAATCGTAGGCTTACAATATTATCATTTCGCAGTACCTGTGAAAAATTTCACGATTTTTATTTGAAATTTCTAATGAATCATAATTTATAATTTATAAGCTTCTTGTGAATTTCGCAACTATAAAATAGCCGTGGTAATTCTTCTGTTGCTTCGTTAAATATTTGAGTTTAACAAATTTACTAAAATGGTGCAATAACAATCATAAATATGAATGCTGGTCAATATTTAAGGAAGTAAGAAGATACAAATGAAAACATTAAAAACAGAATTTTCTATTTCACTGAATCAGACGTTAAAACAACACTTGTTCCTTTGTTCTTTCGACGCGATGATATTCAGTTGTTTAATATTCCGTAAATGTGTGTGTTTGAGATTTATATATATATATATATATATATATATATATATTATATATATATATATATATATATATATATATATATATATATATATATATATATATATATATATATATATTTTTTTTTTTTTTTTTTTCTCGGACAGCTGCGTATTGAACATTTGCGTCGCTGGATAATTGCGTACTTCTGGTAATTTTTTGAAGCTTTTAAATGCAATTACCATAAATTTTGATAAAAGCATAGGTAGTAATCATATTTTTTTTTCAAAAAAAAAAATAAAAGAAATGAAATAAATAAAGAAAATTAAAAGTTTATTTTTGTTTAAAATGCAATGACTATTTAACAGTGTTGCAAGATTGCTCTACACATCGCCACTATATTTTTGTTTCATTGGTTTTTTTCTTCTGACAGTGGTAGCTGTAATTTTCCTCCTCCACAAAGGTTTTTCTACCAGTGTTTCATTTTTTGGAACTTAGCCATGGGTTCCAAATAAAAAATATAAACTCTAAACTTTAGGATTTATTAGATTCTTGTGATACGTACTACTGGAGTGAACTGAAAATGCTAGTTTAATTTTCTCCTGCTTTTAAAAATAATTTTTTCTCTATTTTTTTAATTTATGTTAACTACCTTTCTACTTATATAGAGTAATTAAAGGTATTGGTGTGCAAATTTTTATATTAACTCTTTAAAAAATGGTAACTTCAAAAAATTATCAGAGGTACGTAATTATCTAGACCGCAACTATCCACACACACACACACACACTCTCTCTCTCTCTCTCTCTCACATACACACACACATACATACATACATATATATATATATATATATATATATATATATATATATATATATATATATATATATATATATATAAAAACATTAGGCAGCATATAATCTACATTCAAAGAAATAATCACACATAGAATCAATCAGATATATTGATGCGATTATTGGCGACATCCATCGCTAGTAGTATAATGTATGCATTAAAATACTGTTAATCCATAGAGTGAAGTGATCCTCGCATATAAAATTGATGTCTGTTGTTTCCAGTTTATGTGTTCTTAAAATGCTAGTACTTACGAATAGTCTTCTATTCATCATCAGGCATGTGTTGTTTTTTCCTTATAAAATCAAAAACTTTAAGACGAAACAATTATTTCGTCTTCAAGTTTTTGATTTTATAAGGAAAAATTTTATAAATAAAAATCCTAAACTAAAATTAGAGAAAAATAATGAAAAATTATGTGATTGTAGAAACCCTGAAGACTGCCCGTTGGAAAATAAATGCCGCACAAAATCTGTGGTATACCAATGCACTACCTCATCCATTGAGAGTCCTAACACTGATAGGATATACATTGGTTCAACGAAGAATGAATTTAAAATTAGATGGAGACAACTCAAAAGTTTCTTCAATAATATTAGAAATAGAAATCAGACATCTCTATCCACATATTTTTGGCATTTAATGAAATGAATAAAACACCAAAAGAACTTGTAAAACCTGGGATGACCCATGTCCTTTATGCCTACATAAAAAACAACACATTATTAAGTTTGTAAATGAAAATTTATTAAACCATAGGCATGAGTTAACAGTTTTCTACCGACATAAACAAATTTTCGCATCAAATAATTAGCATAAAAAAAAATTAAATTTCATAGTCTAATAAAAGGTTCAAAAGCTTAACCCAATCACATGATAGAAAAAAAACCCTTTATGAAGTCGTTAAAAAAGCAAATTGTAGTTCAGTGCGACGCGTTTAAGTACGAAACAGCCCTTTAGGAAAAAAAATAAAATAAAAGGATAAATAAATAAATAAATTAATAAATAAATAAATAAAATAAAACAAAATTCTCTTAATGACATATGGTGCCAAAAGCTATCTTTCACTATGACTGACCAAACGATGTGTGCACATGAATGCCATCATTGGCTTTGAAATTGATGCCTCCACCGTATCTCGGCTTGACCTCTTTCCGAAGGTGACTGATATGTGGATAAAAATTAACTCTTAGGCCCCTTACCAAAATGGTCACCCAGCCGTTTCCATAGTAATTAATTTTGCGAATGAACATACTTATAAAGATGCGTAAAATTCAAGATTGGTTATTCCTAAATTTTCGCTTGAGGATGAAACAGGGCTTGATACTTTAACTTAATTTAATTTTAATAATTATATTGCGGTTTTCGGCTCTCGTTTTTGAAACATGAGAACTCTTATGTAGCGAAGGAATCATATTTTTTTAAAAAAATAATTATAATTTAAGCTCTGCTTCTGTATGGAGCACTGTTTTTTTTAAATAAAAACAAAAATACTAAAGAACTCCAGATTATTTACTTAACGTGTTCTTTCCTATTTTTCTACATATCTGCACACACACACACACACACACACACACACACATATATATATATATATTTATAAACAGCAAAATTGTTCAAATTGATAGATTAAACTCTGAAGCGTTGTATCTTAGAAATGATTAAAGATATCTTACTGGAATTCTTCGAGGTTTTGTAACACTATTGGATTCTACTTTGAACGATAACAATGTATAATTACTCTCCAAGCTTAACAGAAGAATCTTGATGAAATCGATCATAAACGAAAATGACATGTTCATCATTAATTAATCATAGATAAGGATCGGAAGTTCATGAAGGATTGAAATAAAATTCAAATATATATATATATATATATATATATATATATATATATATATATATATATTATTCCAGGATCATTTTCCAACTTATTCCAGATAACTTCGCCCTCCCTAACTTTCTAACATTCTGTTCTGGAGTAACAAGGTGCCTCACAGGTTTCACGTACTACTTTATTTTCAATGTTTTTCACTGCTTCTTGGAATGCCATAAGTTAAAATCCTCTCACGTACAAACCCCTTATAAACTGAGTTGGATCTTTTCTAATTGATTTCTTTAGCTCTAAACTGAAATGATGACCCCCCTCTCTCTCTCTCTGGTGTGACTTCCTGATTCAGTTTTCCTCTTTACTCTTCCTTCTTTTCTAAACTTATCCATCGTTCTCTTGATGGTTATTGAATGAACTTTGAAGATGGAAGTTAGTATATGAAGGTTGGTACTATTACTGAAGGCCTGAATGATCTTTTTCCTCTCACCATTGCTCATTTGGGAAGACAGTGAGTCCGACACAAAAGGATTTTAACCTGTTCTCTTTTTAGCTGAATGACTTAAAGGATTTTTCAGTGATTGTTACGAAAAATGGCTAAATATCTTGTTTAAACACCTAGAAACAAGAAACTCAAATAGTTTAGTGGTGTTTTTAGATATAAAAAATTTTGTGGGATGGATAATTATGCTGTTGCACGATTTGGACAATTTTGCTATTACACCCGGTATATATATATATATATATATATATATATATATATTAATGCATGTTTCATTAAGTAATATAGACAAGTTTTATCTATTTATTTTAAGTAAGTTCCTTTCATATTGCCTGATAAACTTAATAACATTATCATTGAACATACTTAAACATGAAAACAATAAACAAAATCTAAAAATTCTTGAAGCTCTGTACATAAAACAGTTGAAACCTAACCTGAACAAAATAAACTACGAAATCTCCACACACATTCTTAAATGCCTATAATTGATAACTGAAGCCATTGGTTTACACCAACGGCTTCCCATATTTAATACTTCTCGTTTTCACTCTCGCATGGTCATTTTCGCTTCCGCGTCTCGAGTTTGTCGTTGCTTTGAAATTTTTCATACAACTAAAACAGACTACCATTATTGTTTCGTCCATGTATTGTTTGATATCTTGAAATGTAATTGTCATCTTTGATAATGGCTAATGTAAGCCGAAATCTTAGATTGGATTTAAACATGCATCAATATGGTGATTTCCTTCCGTCTTTCAATGATAATGTTATTAAGCTTATCAGACAATATGAAAGGAACTTACTTAAAATAAATAGACAAAATTTGTCTATATTATTTAATGGAACATACATTAATGAAAAATTGCTGCATATTGCTGCATATATATATATATATATATATATATATATATAATGACTCTGCTCGTTTCCGAATATAACCATCTGTTAAGGTTAGTTAATCTCTATTGCCAATGTCCACTTATATTTGTGTTTATTCAACACGCACATAGCCAACCTGTAACTTATACGGCAACTATATGGGTGCATGGTCCAGTGGTTAGAACATTGGCTCTCCGACCATGACACCCGGGTTCGAATTTCAGCATGGACGATTTGTCAGGAAGGAGACTTCCTGATGTTATCGGTCTGGGGAGATGAGCCTGAAAACCATACCACGGGTTGATCTAAACCTTTTGAGTGACGGGTAGACGGATTTATTTGTACTTGCACAAAATCACAAGTCATCGTGACCGAGAGTTGAACGTATTGGCCTTGTTCAGACTGATGATCATGCCAGATTACTGAGGTTCGCTCAGCATCAGTCAGTTATGTGCCATGCATGATACACGCTCGATACATGACTGACGGTAGACCACTTGCCATCCAAGGATATAGAACCCGGTTTGTCCTGCTACTTACCCATAGCTGGTGGGGGTGGGGGGGTGAGTATTCATACCTTTCCCAAGGGTATTAGCACTTAAGTGAATGTAATGGATTCGACTACTTACAGTATAAACCACAGGGTGCCTCTGTGGGTGTTGAATAAACATAAATCTGCCTAAAAAGGCGTCTGCAACAGAGATTGGCTAGTTACCCTAGTAGACAGGCATCCTCAGATACGAATGGCCAGCCATTCTTACTCCAACCAGTCTGAGCGGATTTTAGTTATAGTTTAATGGAGAGCGCACGTAATCTCGTGTGATCAGCAGTCGATCTCTCGGTCACGATAACGTGTGACTTCCTGCTACATATAACTTATATGGGAGAGATAGAGAGAAGTAGATATGTATGTATGTCTCGGTTTTAAGTTATTTTAAGATAAAGATTTGACGTTTAACTTTTTTATAATGTCCTGCCTGTTTCAGGGTTAAGAAATGTCCCTACCCTTGTAGACTGAGCATAAATTTCAACTCGTTAAGTAAAACTAAAAGCAGTGGCTTCACAGTGATATACGCATGCGCACTCACGCACAGATATAAAATTCGGCATTCAAAAAAGACCAAATGCACTATTAAGTGTTCGTAGGACGATAAGTGCGACGCTGAGATCCGAAGACGGATTGAGATGGCCAAAGCCGCATTCCAAAAGCTAGGCAGAGTATTACGAGACAGGAGGATTTCGTTGATCACAAAGAAAACAGTACTGAACTGCGACGTGACATCTGTCCTCCTTTACGGCAGCGAATGTTGGACGGTCTCCTCAAAGATGAAGAGGAGACTCGAGGCAACGGAGGTATGGTTCTACAGAAGGATACTAAGAATATCATGGAATGAACATGTGAGCAACGATGAGGTTTTGGGGAGAATGCAAACGAGGAAGCAGCTTATACTTAACATCAGGAAGAGGCAGCTGAAATTTCTGGGATACGTAATGAGAAAGGAGGGCTTGGAGAATCTGATACTCACAGGGCGGATAGAGGAAAACTGAGACAAATGAAAGCAACACGTGACGTACCCAGCGGGCTTAAGCAAGTGAATGACGGAAAAGGGTTTGGGAGAAGTAGCAAAAGGACATGATATATTGAGAGCTACAAGGAGGAAGTGGAGAGCCATGATCGCCTATGTCCTGAAGGGACACGGCACATAAAAGAATTGTAACCACTTCATGGATGAATGTAGAGATGTTAATAGATTATGTATTCTATAATAAATATTTACTATGCTTAACTAAGTCAACCACAGGGATACATGGAGAGAGAAACAAAAGTTGAAAAATTGTTCTGTTTCAACTTTCCTATTTGGGAGGATATATATAAACGTACCTATAAGTCTACCACTCGCCCATGCTTAGAATATTGCTGCCAGATATGGTCCGGTGATCCTGCTATTAATTTAGAGATTCTTGATAAAGTCCAAAAGGGAATCAGCAACATTACTGGTCCTGACTTGGCAACTCGGCTTGAGTCACTTTTCCCCCGCCATAAAGTTGCTACCCTATGCCTTTTCTATAAATAAATTCATGGTAATTGTTCGGGTGAGCTCTGCGATATGGTACCTAGACTTTATGAATTAAAGCGCAGATTGTCAATAACGTCTCAACATTTTACAGTTGAATTGGCAAGATGTAACCGTAAGTTCTATGCTAACGGTTTCTTTTCTCGCACTTCTCGTTTGAGGAACTCTCTTCCAGCTTCATGCTTTCCGGCCAACTTTGATCTTCAAAAATTTAAATAAAATGCCCACCGTTATCTACTGTCTTCCTGATTACTCGTCTATTGTTTTCGTTTCTTCATGTTTGCTGTGTTCTAATTCTTTTACACCTAGTAACCAATTGTGTCTTAGTAGCTTTACTGCCTTTCTTGGGTGAATTCAATTTAAAAAAAAGAGAGAATAATACAAGGCGATAAAGCCACTAAGACAAAAGGGGTTACTAAGAGTGTCAGAAACAGAAAACGTTACTGATGAGAAAGTACAATAAAATGAACAGGATTCAAAGAGACAATGACGATTGTAGCTGCAGTTACATTTTTGAAGATTGTATTTGATAGAAAAGCAAGGTGACGGAAGAGAGTTCCACAAGCTAGAAGTGCAAGAAAAGAAACTATCAGAATAGAACTTAGAATTAACAATTTCAACAGTAAAATGATGAGACCTAACTGACAGTCTAGTACTGCGTTTAACTTTATGAAATCGAAGTTCCAAAGAGCGAAGCTCATCAGAGCAATTGACATGAAAATATTTATAGAAAAGGCACAAAGAAACTGCGATGAGAAATTGATTGAAGCTGCAATGCCAGTTCAGGACTGATAAAATTGCAGATATTTCTTTGGATTTTGTCAAAAATCTCCAGATACACACCAGATAAGATGTGTCAACAATATTGAATTGATGAATTTAAGCACAGTATTACAATCTTGTCACCCACTACCAAAAAGATCTCAGATTGCAATGCTTATAGTACAGCGTGATCCGAAAGTCTTGTTCTCCTCTACCAAATATTAATGAGAACAATAGAAGAACAAGTAATACAGTAATACAAATCACATATACTGGATTCAGTTTATTCATTTTGGTTGACGTTGTCAGACATCGAGAAGGTCTGGATGAACATCCATCATTTTCGTTGCACAAAATGATGCGACGCCATGTCCAGGGTTATATTTTACTTATTTATTGTGCTTTGTTGATTGTAGCAACGGCTTTGTGAACGGCGTCCTTCAAGTGATGGGTGTTCTGGTATCGTTCATGTGAAACTCTCTCCCCTTGATAATAATACCCAACAGAGCGTAGAATATTATATTATGTAGCGGGTGACAAGACTTTCGGACCACCCTGTATAGAACATGAAAGTGAGGGTCATAACTATAAAAGTGCTGACAAAAAAATACAAAGAGCAAAATTAGATAATTACAAAGAAAATTGGTAACGGTTCAGATCAGAGATTTACTGAGGGTTGCAAGAATACTCGGGGAAGAGAGTGGAGATTACAAAAGACTTGTTCCCACCCATTTTTGATAAAAAAGAATCAGATACTACTTGAAAGGGATAAAAATAATCTGCTCGATCGTAAATACGTTTGTTCCAACGAGCAAGAGAGTAAAAAAAATTAAAAACAAGGCGAATGATTAGGAAAACACTAGGACATTGCTAGGGAGCTGGACAAGTACAGGGTACTCCGAAAGTTTTGTCAACCCATAAAAAAAGTAATGAGGTCCATAGAAGAACAAGTAATACAGTAATACAAATGACAGATATTGGATTCAGTTTATTTACTTTCATTGCCGTTGTCAGACATCGAGAGGATCTGTATGAGCATCCATCATTTTCGTTGCACAAAATGATGCGGCGACATGTCCTTTGTGATATTTTACGAAGCTCTGCTTTGTTGATTGCTGCAAAGGCTTTCCGACTGACGTCCTTCAATTGATATGCATTCTGGTATCATTCATGTGAAACTCTCTCCTTGATAATAATACCCAACAGAGAGTTGAAATAGAAAATCATGTAGGGGTGACAAGACTTTCGGACCACACTGTAGATTGACAGCAAGCTCTCATCGTTTTAGAATTGAAATATGTTAGATGCAAGTTTTATGTTAACACTTTCTTCTATCACACGTCTCGCTTGTGAAACACAATCATTATCTTTTGTCTTGATTCTTGTTCTTTTTTTGTTCTCTATCCTTATTATTTTTTCCTCATATTCTCTCACACTCGGTAACATCTTAATGGCTTTATTACCTTGCCCGGGGTGAAACGATAAAAAAAAAATGCTAGCTTTTCCCAAAGCCCGAAAACCGACCACTTGCCCCATGGAGGACCAATATGCTAAGCGAGTACTCATCCAGAATCTTACTAACTTACCCGCACAATGTGTCACTCCATATCGTTGGTATCCGTCTCTGCATTTGCAGTGAAAACTGCCCGGCGTGTTGATACAAATATGATCACACATCGATGACATCGAACACTCATCTATATCTGTTTAGAATAAGAAACATAAAGTTAGAAATTCGCTCAAAAATCACATCAGCAGTACATTGTGTACGTTTTTCGGGAATAGACAACTCAACACCGCCGACAGTGCGCCAGGACAACTCAGGAACGAGACAACTCAGCACCAGAAAAAAATATAACTTTTTTTTCATAACCGAATAAAAGTAATTTATTAAGGATTAAAACCTTAATTAGTGATTTTTAAAATTATTTTTAATAAAGTCGTAAAGGAATTTATTTGTTAATAAAGTAAAAATATTCACTAATTACGGTTTTAATCTTTAATAAACTACTTTTATTCGGTTATAAAAAAAAAAGTTATATTTATAAAACAATACTGTTTTCTGCTGCTAAGTTGTCTCGATGCTGAGTTTGTCGGTGGTGTTGAGTCGGAGGTGTTGAGTTGTCTTGCACCCTATGTTTTTGTTTGCCAAAACGTTGAAGCATTCATTAAGTTTAAATAATACAGCACTCGTTAAAAGAAAAAAAAACTGTTGCAAGAATGAAAATAAGCTCTCCAAACGAAACATTTACGCATTGGACAAGGCGAACACATTCAATTATGGATAACTGTATAGTATCAAAAATGAAGAGACAGATATAACGCGTTAAAAGGTGTAGATATCAAAATGAAATGAACGATGACTTTTTAAGATAACTCTTCATCCCAGAAATTCAAACAGTGTTATAATTATTTGCATTATTCACATGCAGGCTATTGACACCATCTTTGTTGTTGTTATCACAAAGTTTCGGTCGTTGTATCCACCGGTCTTCATCAGGTGTGTCTCTATCCGGGTAACCTACAAAACATTACTGTAGGTTCGGAATCCTCTGTAAGTTACCAGATCGACATGCACCTGATGAAGGCCGGATGGATCGATTCATTTTTTACAGCTTATCAACCCTTTGCATGTTATTTAAATCCAGAAAATATTTTTAGTTTGTTAGAATTCTTTTTATTGGGAGATAATAATGATTCAGCTAATTAACCCATATCTAGGGGAGAAGTAGATTCATATCTTTCTCAGGGATATTTGCACGTAAGTGAATATAACGAACCCAACTGGAATTGGAACTCGGCCCTCCAATTAACAATTGCAAGCCGTTATCTAATACACCACCCGCATACCCAAGCTTACAGAGTCTGGTATTCTCAAGCAATCACCAATCTACGTATTGACCAGACTTGACGTTACGTAACTGTTTTAAGGTGATATGGTGGCAATTCTAATGAAGGCCGCTGTGCTCTTTGGCCGAAAGGTTGTGACAAGATGGAGACAATAGTCCGCCCGTAAATAGTGTAGATAACTCTGTATAACTGTCTAGAACAAAGTTGATGGTAAACCCTTGGAAAAATACTCCATTTTCAAATCGAAAGCACCAATCTGTAGAGAAGGATTAATTTATTCTTTAAGAAAAAACAAAGCAACTTTTTTATTTGTCTTTTCCTTCTTTATTCTTCACTCACTCAACCTTTTCTTCATTCCTCTTCTCCATGTTTTTTGACCTCTCTCTCTTCCAGCCCTTTTCCTTTTCTTCTCCATACATTTTTCATCACGTCCTCCTCCCTTATTTTCCATTCATTTTCTTCTTCTTCTTTCCTTCTTTATCTACACCATCGCTCTCACCTTTTTTTTTTCATTCTAGCTCCTCGCAATCCTTTCCCACACTACGTCATTCATACCTAAGATTATGTTTTTGACTCGGCTTCGAAAAGTAACTGTAGATAAGATTTAAGATCACTTATCTCGGATCCGCCAGATTTAAGTGAGTTTAATTTAGATGGTGGGCCAAACGAAGACCTTGTCAACGTCACTTACGCTTGATTTTAATTCTGTAGTTTACAGTATTCCGGTGTTGTTGTTTTTTCTTTAAATTCAGCTGGAATGAATTCTGAAAGGATACAAACCATTACAGCTGTGAAGGCACCTGTCTTAAACATGCTTGCTATTAAAACTCATTGTTTTGTCTTCATCTTTAATGAATTTAGAAAGTAATATTCGGACTTCTAACTTTATAATTGGCCTTGACGATTTCCATTTAGGACGAAAGCAAAACATTTTTTTCTGCAATGAATGAAAGTCAGAAACGAACAATTGAAATTTTAGTTAGTGTACTGTCCTGGGTATGATGATAAACTACATCCGGCAGGAAAGCCTCAGACTGGGAAGACTAACGAGCTGATATGCCGCTAGACAAAAAAAAAAAAAAAAAAAAATAGAGCGTAAATATTCAGATATATACACAGAAATAAGTACTAGTTTCAAAATGTTAGTTCTATCATTTCTTATAAGTTGATATTGAAGTCAACACCCAGAGGTGACAGTCTGTTTCATGCTAAACGCAATCACCAGGCGATGACGATTGCATTTAGCAGAAAACAGACTATCACCTCTGGGTGTTGTCTTCGATGTCCACTTTTATATTTACATACGCTCTATCTCTGATATTAAGCACTTTCACCCATAAATATCGCATACCTTAAAACTATATTTTATCATACAAGTTACAAATGAAACAGAAAATACAACTAATCTGTCTTTACTCAGAGATGTGTCAACTCATCAGGGAGCGTGTCAGTAAAACTCCGATGCGAAACTCCAAATAGAGTTGGACATTTAATTTTATTCTCTTTAATGATATCAAACATCTATCTCTTGTTATTAAGCACTTTAACTACAAAGACTGTTAGTCATGAAAGGGTTATCTTCCAAAAGTACCTCGATCGACCGATTTTTTCTTTCCCTTTGAATGGAGGAGACACGGTCGCTCTTTGTTACATGTATGGCATATATGCAGCAATATGACTGTCGGTAAAAAATAGTTCAATCGTCTGGGTATAACAATAAATTAAACCCGGCAGCAAGTCCTTTGATCTGGTGGTGGTGGGAAGTTGAGGAACGTGGAATCACCTCTTAATTGTTGTCGTACCCAGGTGCACCCTGACCCAGGGTGGAAGCACCTGCTAGAGTCCCAGCTATGGACAAATAGCGAACCCCCAAAATGGGATCAAAACATGAAAATATAAAAATACACTAGAAAAAATTACCAGCAATACATTTTTTCAAAAAGAACTAATGAAAAAAAAAATTACCAAAGCTCACAAGAAAATAAAATTTTGTCATTAAAAGATGGTTTGTTTTGTGGCATATCAACCTCTATGGGTTATTTAATGCCAATAATATGTAATATGTACCAATAATGGTAATATTTTTTCCAAAAATGTATCGTTGGTAATGTTTTCAAAAATGTATTGCTGGTAATAACTTTTCTAAAAAAGTATTGCTGGTATTAACATATATTTTTATACTTTCATAGTGTTTTGACCCCGTTTGGGCAAGGGGTTAATTATTTGCCCATAGCTTGGACCCTAACAGGTGCTACCACCCCGGGTCAGGGTGGACCAGGGAACACCAGCAATTAAGAGGTGGCTTCATGCTCCTCAAAACCTCCTGATCAAAGGCCTTGCTGCCGGACGCGGATGTAGTTTATCGTCATACCCAGGACGCGGATGTAGTTTATCGTCTTACCCGGGACGCGGATGTAGTTTATCGTCATACCCAGGACGGCATAAAGAGTTGATATACCGCTAAAAAAAAAAAATCAAGCTAAAACAGTTCAAGATGATTATTTACTATGAACTATGTAACTTTTTGACTGCTCCTTGAGTTGTAACATTACAACTGTATTCCATCACGAACAAAACTTATTATCAAAAATATCTCTATATGATAAAACTTAAAATACTCCGATGTTTCAGATAACTGAATAATTCTTATAATAATAGAATTTATTTATTGATTGATTCGTTTTTCTACGGCTTATCAACATTTTGCAGGTTAATTAAAGTCAGAAAATATTTTTAGATTGTAAGAATATTTCTTATTGGTAGATAATAATGATTCAGCTAATTAACCCGTAGCTAGGGAGGAAGGTGGATTCATATCTTCTCGAGGGTATTTGCACGTAAGTGAATATAACGAACCGAACTGAAATTGCAACTCGGCCCTCCGATTAACAATTCGAAGCCGTTATCTATTACACCACCCGCACATCCAAGCTTACAGTACCTGGTATTCCCAAGCGGTCACTTATCGAGATACTGACCAGGCTTGACGTTGCTTAACTTCGGTGATCATACAGAAACCAGTCTTTCAACGTGTTATAGCCGTATGTCTTATAATAATTGAAGTACGTGAAAAGCTTACCTTTACATGTTTTCATGTCGCTTTGTGTCTTAAAACCTTTCGGACAGATACATTCGTAACTTCCATGCGTGTTGACGCATTTATGGCTACAGCCGACGTTGTCTAAAGCACATTCATCGATATCTGAAAATGAAAGGCGATAATGATAAGAATTGTGGACATTAACAATATGAAAGATTACTTCATTATTTTTGGTAGATATTTCTACAAGTTTCCGATCAATTTAATGAAAACTTACCTGAATATATGAACCAAGACTCTTTTATCACATCGTCACCTAAATACTATCTGTTGTCATCTTCGCACACACATTATATATATATATATATTAGTAAACTATCTTACTTAAACCCCATAACACTAGTGAGGATAAGAGGCGTAGCAGGCCCCAAAATAGAAAAGAAATATAATATGATTCACCCCACTTCTGTAGGTGATCCAGAATTAATATTGGACAAGTTTTCTTGAAACTTATAAATAAACATTTTCAAAATAACAACCTTTTAAGTAAGATCTTTAACAGAAAAAAACTATTAAAATAAGTTATTCGTGTACAAATAACATGTTTAAAATAATTGACTCTCACAAGTATATCTAAATAAATTCTACTTCTTTTTTTTTTTTTTCACTCTGTCTTTCTCTTTCCTTCTTTTTTACATTTCCTTTTCCTTGATTTGTCGTTTTTTCATACCTTTTTTCTTTCCGGTCTCTTATTTAAAATTTTTTTTAAAAAGTTAGGCTTCACATTTATTTTATTCTATAAAACTTTTTAGTGTTGACAACCTCGTGAAGGAAATTTTTCCTGTGGAGCGAAATGATCATCCAGATAGGGTATTTTTTGAATTTTATTTATTTGTAATTCATTTTGATATGCTTTGTAATAAATACACTGAGCTCTATTTTTGAATTAGTTTTAATATTTTGTACTATTAGGATTCACTTGAATTACTTACCCACGGATTTTACCTATATATATATACATACATACATATATATATATATATATATATATATATATATATATATATATATAGAGAGAGAGAGAGAGAAAATTTGTGGCTATTTTTGAAGTGATTTTATATATATATATATATATATGGCTATTTTTGTAGTGATTTTATAACATGTTTATGTTATAAATTTTCTAAATAAATAATTATATATATATATATATATATATATATATTAGAATGGATTTTTTTAATCCGACACATTTTTATCACTTTAAGTGTTATTTTTAGTCGATACTCGTATTTGAGTAGACGCTCCGTTTATTTATTAAGCAGTATATTTATTTATTTTCGTCTAACGGACTGAATATTTGAGAAATTTTATTAAAGAAAAATTGCTCTCTCCGGGAGGAATCGAACCTGCGTCCCTCAAGAACAGAGAGAGCTCCCGTATCTGTCTATATTTCTGAGATGAGGTATTATGTACATTTTTTACATCATTCGGACTGTTTTCCTCATCTTAGTCACCATATTTATTACAACGTTTCGGCTGTTGTACGTTCCGGCCTTCTTCAGGTGGTTGGAATGTCGAACTGAACCCTTTATTTCGCTCACTTGGGTAGACTGTTCTAGTTCCACGTGCCATGTTTAATGGATGTCAGTTATCAGTTATCTCCTGTTAATTTCTCTCTGAAAGTTCTCCAATGGCACAGTGGATAAAGGCGTTAGTTAGATCAAGTGACAGGACCCAAAGAGTGTGAGTTCAATACCTGGTTAAGGCAGTGGAGAACTTTCAGAAGGAATTTAACAGAAGATAACTGATAACTGACATCCATTAAAACATGGCACGTGGAACTAGAACAGTCTACCCCAGTGAGCGAAATAAAGGGTTCAGTTCGACATTCCAACCACCTGAAGAAGGCCGGAGCGGTACAATGGCCGAAACGTTGTGATAAATATGGCGACAAAGATGAGGTCAATAGTCCGAATAATGTAAATAGAGAGAGCTCCCGTTCTAAAAAATGAAAAAAGAATGTAATATAAAAAATATTATTAAATGTGAAATAGCATTGATTGGTGACCGCAGATTTTTATGAGTTTAACTATTGGTAGGGATAAATTTATTTTTAGGCTAGATGCTTTTAAGAGATTAAAGCATTTTTCAACCGGGACGTTGGTGTGAAGAGATTTTATATCGAGACAGGTCATAAGTTCGTCAGTCTTATTTGTTTCTCTTAGTTTTTCAACTAAGTTCCTTGAATATTTTATATGTGATGAACTGATTGTTCCAAAGAGAGGGGTTAATTTTTTTTTAGTTTGTGGGGAAGGCCAGGGCCGGCGCGTCTTACTTTCGAAAACCCCGACCGAGGTGGGTGATGCGTTTGTTGGGACCTCCTTGTGGCCACTGCTATATTTTTTTTTTTTTTGTCTAGTCATCAACTAATAATATACATCGTGTATCTGCAATGCCAGTGGTGTGCGTACTACGCAGGAAACCCCCCCCCCCAAAGGAGGTTGGAGCCCCAAAAAGGCTAATATATCTCAGTAAAATTATTTTTTATTCCGAGATCATCCACTAGGGAGGATCTTTGACTAGTAATTAAAATAAAATTGAAAAATAGTATTTATTTTTATATATATATATATATATATATATATATATATATATATATATATGAATATTCCCCAAAAAAGAAATAATATTTTTCAAGCAAAATTTTTAAGACAATCTCGTTTGTATTGTGTTGGAATCTTTGGAAAACTTCTTTTTTTTTTCAGCGGAGATGCATCGGCGATTAAACTTTATGGAAATTTTTTTTCGAATAAAATTTAGTTATGAAAATATTGGTGGTCATTAAAAAAGAATAACATTTTCTCAGGTTATTTTTAAATAAAAAAATAAACTATTCATTCTAAAAGTAAATAATTAATGAATATGTACTGAAATTTTAATTTAAATTACATAATTCCTTGATTTTTGATTATTTAAAAATATTTTTTAATTATTTAAAAAATAGCGCTAACACCCGCAAAAAAAAATCTTCCTTCAAGGGAAAAAAGTTGGAAAACGAGACCCTAGCGCCGGCCCTGGCGAGCGCTGTCTATTCCTGAAATAAAAGGGTGCATTGGGATGTGGGTTTTAGAGAGACCGTAAACTTTGGGTATTCTTGGGTAATGTAGCATGATATCTAGGAAAGGTAAATTATTGTTTTCTTCTATTTCATATGTAAATTCTATTGTATGCTCAACTTTGTTCAGTTTATCTACAAGATCAGGTAAATCAGTACCACAGGGATATATTAATAGAGCATTATCACTGTATCAGAAGTATGTTGGTTGTTTAGATAAAATATTTTGGAAAGAACTAGATTTGAGAAATTCTAAGAAAATACATGCCATTACTCCATTAAGATGCAATCCCAAAATTATTATTAAATATGAAATAGAATTCATTGGTGATGAAATGACACATTTTTATTATTTTAGGCTTTGGTAGAGAGGAATTTATCTTTGATTGATTTATCTTTGATTGTGTTAAATGCTTTTTTAAGAGATTTAAGCATTTTTTAACTGGGACATTAGTGTAAAGTGATTTTATATCTAGACTGCCTATGTGTTTGTCAGGCATTTATTTCCCTTAGTTTTTCAACGAGGTTGCCTGAATTATTTATGTGATGGACTGATTGTTCCAAGAACATTTTTGTTATGGCTTTAACCAGTTGTGGAAGGGGGCGCTGTCTATTCCTGCAATAATAGGGTGCATTGGGATGCCTGTTTTGGGGGTTTTAGGGAAACCATAAAGTTTGGGTATTCTTAGTCTATACCATGATTTATCTTCATTTTTAATTAGTTTCTTAATTGCATTGTTAAATTTTTGTTTTAATAATTATTTTCTGTTTGTTTATTCTTTATATATGTGTCTGTATCTCTAAGTAGTGAATTTTTCATCGTATGAGTTTTTTCTACGTGATGACAATCCCATCTCCCTTGATCGATGCTCTAATCACTGCCACTATCGAAACCAAAGAATATTACAACAGAGGCGCTTAAATACACTAAGGAACCTAGCAAAAAATAAGGAAATCTACATGACCTCCTCGGATATTTATCAATATCAACCAAGGAGAGATCGATAATCCTCAAAATCTATGGGGTTTTTTTTATCTCAAATCGAACACCTTCGACCAACGCCATTGATTTAGAATGGATTTCTCTTACGTTATTCTTACAAAACATTCAAAAATATATTTTCAAAATGACTGGTTACAAGAGAGATGGAATGTACATAACAGACCAGCAATTATCAAGCCGAACACATCAACATTCTTCGACCATGAAACAAGAGAATAGTACAAGGCCTGTTTGAAATATATGAAGCCATTTTGAATATCCCCATAATCAGTTGTTCGAACTTGATTTATGTTTTGCAACTAATCATAAGAGGTACTAGAGTAAAAAAAAAAAATTGACCCGTATGGGTGTGTTAAATTTAATATTAATACTCATAATCCTTAATTATTATACTTTGTGATAATTTTTGTATAAAAAAAAGATAAGTATATTTATTTAATTCTTAATTATATTCAAGGTGGAAGCAAACTGCGGATCGCGAGCTCCACGCGGCTTTTTGACCTTTAATATGCGGCTCTTTGACTTTTAATATGCGGCCTTTGACCTTCAATATGCGCCCTTTGACATTTAATATGTGGCTCTTTGACCTTCAATATGCGGCCTTTGACCTTTAATATGTGACCCGTAGAAATATGTTGGCTGAGCTCCTTTTTCCATCCCAGTTAATATAAAAGGTAAATAAGAAACATTTTTGCTCCTCTCAAAAGTCTGAACTTTATCGTGTGTGGCTCTTATATTAGGCAAGTTTAGCAACCCCTGCTATATTCCATTATGAAAGGTGAAGAAAAATGTTTTCAAAACTTGTTCACCTGTACAAGGTCCGTCCGTGTCCAGTTTTGTACAAGAAGATTCTATTGCGTGTTCATGAACCTAAACCTCTCTGTTGGATTAATGATTTGGCATATAGATGCCATTGAATGAACTTGTGTATTGTGGGAACATTGCATTCACAATGGCCGAATGAGTAATCTCTTCACTTTTCGTACAGGGTTTATTTATTAGCCTAATCATAGCGCCACCCAAATCTGTCACTTCACTTCTTTAGTTCAGATTCAGTTCCTGAAGATTTCTAGAGTTTTCCAAGACTAAAAATCGCCGTTGGAACACTGCATGAAATTAAGAACGCAACGACGAGGAAACCGATGCCAAGAGAGGAATTTTCAGACAGTTTTCAGAAAAGTGACAGGGAGTCTGTGCTAAGTATGTAGGATCTCAAGGGAGCCTTAGCAGATTGTTTTTCCTTTTTCTTTATATGAAAAGACTGATATTAATCCGAAGGTTTATTGGAATAACAAAAGATGCCATCGAAAATCTAAGCAAATTAATAAAAAAAAACAAGTAAATTTCGTGAGAAACAAAGAAAAGATTGCTGAACTATTATTTAATATCAGTCCTCATATATAAGAGTGATTACTGTACGATCTCCTCACAGATCAAGAAGAGACTTGAGGCAACAAACGTGATTCTACAGAAGGATGCTGAGAATACCAAGTATGTAACGAGTAAATTTTAAGGAAAATAGAAACAAAAAGGACACTTATACTTAGAAATGTAAAGAGACAGTTGAACTTGCTAGGACACATAATGAGGAAAGAGGGCTTGCAGAATTTGACACGCACATGACATATTGAGGGAAACAGCAAGTTATCTACCGAACAATCTTTTCTAAATGGATGACAGAATAGGAAGTGGAAAGCATAGGGAGAAGATAAACTTTATTAAGAATTACAAAGGATTTGAATTCGTGGAGAGCCATGATCACCCACGTCCTGAAGATTAAGGCATATAGAAGAATTACATGACCGGATACATTCCGTACAGAATTCGTTTATTCATGAGTGAGCTTCTTTTTTACTTTTTTTTTTTTATTTTAACCTTTTTTACGACTTTAAAATTGTTTTTAGAGGACACCATTTCGACACTAACATTATCATTATTGAAACTGTTTTAATTTCTTTTATAATGTAACATTTTTTGTAGGGTGAGGATATTGCTCCCTTCCTACTATGCCAGTCTTCATCCCCTCTACCTCACCCTCTTAAGCCTAACACGACAGCGTGGCTTCTCTCTGAAACTGACTGACACTAAATTTAAAGTTACAACATCGGCATATATCGTTATATAATAAATAAGCATAGTTTGGTCTGGCACAGGGCCAAAAGTATGAGGCATCTAGTGAGGATCAAAGTTACTATGGGCTATTCAGTTACAATATAAGAAAATTTTAACCTATCAGTGTCTGCTATAAAAATCCATTATTAATTACAGGTTTCTATTACTGCATTTAATAATTTCTATGTACCGTCCCCAATCAGTAATTCACACAGACGTTTAGTCTGCAATAAAATTAAGTCATTTCTGAACATTGATGCAGTGAATTCTCGTTAACGATTCAAAAATGTCGAATTTTCAACTCCTAACAGGAAGACGATTATTACAACTTCATTCTATTGCACTGCTTTCAAACAAAATTGAAAGATCTCATGACAGCTTGTGTAAATGCATGAAAAGCCCTTTACTCTGAGCGGTCAGTCAAGTACCAGTTAAGTCCTTCGATAGCTTTGTGCTATTGATACACCTTCCTTTGACTATTTTCTTTGAAAAGACCTGTTAAAACGCCAATGAATTTAAATGTCGAATGTTGCTATGAAAAGCAATAAAAGTGGTAATCAACAGCATCATTGCTTACAACGCACGTATTTTAATTCGTTTAAAGTCCACCAACGGACACCCTTTCAAAGGGTTTTAATTTTCTCACCTTTTAAGGGTAAAAACCCGAATAAAATCTCTACTGAATCCGTAACAAATACCGTTTGTTTTCAGAGTTTTGTCCGGGTGGGTTTGGTAGGGATACAGAAATAGGCAGTTAGTGTTTGCAGCCAATTCGCTATTCTGACTTGCATAGACGTTTATTATAGATAGATAGATAGATAGATAGATAGATAGATAGATAGATAGATAGATAGATTTCGATGGGAGGGCGATGATCGTGGTTGTGAGAGAATCTAAGAGAGAAGTTGGAAGAGAAGGTGGGGGTATTTGCTGTTCCCATGCGGCAATAAAAATCCACGAGACGTGAGAGATAAAGTAAATGGGGGAGTTAATGAAAGAGAAAAAAGGGGGGGAGACCAGGTGTACAGAAAAGCCAAGATTTAACCGAAGATAGATGTACAAAACAAGAGGAGGGGGGCGTAAGGAAGCACCATCCTCCACCACAAACAACGACGTTTGCATAAAAAATACTTCTTTAGATGCGTTTCTCCATAAATAATTAAAAAAAATGTTCTTGTCTATTATCTGTTCTTCAAACCTGTATCCTTCTGCCGTCAGTTGAAACTGACGCCTTGTATTTTCCATCTACTGTGACTATTTTCTTTAAAGTTCATATTTTATTGATTTCAGATAAAAACTTTCAGCATATTTCAGTGAAATTTTCACTTTTTAAAATGATAATGGTGAGATAAACCGTTTCTCTATAAGGAAACATTCGGTATTCGTTAATCAAACAGTGTTACTGTCGGTTGAAATTTATAAAGTCTTCCTCTTTAAACAGTCTTTATATTTATATATATATATATATATATATATATATATATATATATATATATATAAAAAGTTCCTCATATCTAATGTTGTCGCTCTTTCTCATATTGATGGGAGTTCCCTTCCTAAACTTTTGTTCAAGCTAGTGTTATAAGTTATTGATATTTGGAAAAACATTCATGAAAGTATGTTTCGAAAATAATATCTGATAATGCATTTTGTCTATAATGACTTCATCAGATGGATAACGAAAAATGTGTTGTGTGTGTATGCGTGACTTTAAAAAAATACCGTTAAAAGTTTTATTCAAGGTAGTGCAGAACATTTACATCTTAATTATATCATTACTTTAGAAAAACAAATTTCAAATAAAATATCTTGAGTTCGTCAATGCCTGAAATTATGATACGGAAAAATCATTTATTCATGTTATGGAAAAGGATTTTTTAGTCAATCTTTAAGGGCACATGACACAGTGGATAAAGGCGTTTGATCCAGTGACAGGACACAAAGAGTGTGAGTTCAATACCCGGTTAAGGCAGTACAGAACTTGGAACGGGGAATTAACAGGAGACAACTGACATCCATTAAAACGTGAAACTTGAACAGTCTACCCCAGTGAGCGAAATAAAGGGTTCAGTTCGACATTCCAACCACCTGAAGAAGGTCGGAGTAAACAACGGCCGAAACTTTGTAATAAATATGGCGACAATGATGAGGACATTAGTCCGAATAATGTAAATAGTGTTTAAAAAATAAACTTCATTGTTTGTATTATTTTTGTTTTTTACTAACATGAACAAAGTAAATTTTAAATTAAGTTTTATTAAAGAAAAAACTTCAGCAAGCCATATTTTTTCGAAAATTAATTTACATAGAATTTTGTTAAATTCGTAAAACAAATATTCAACACGACAAATGTTGTTCGTAACTCATGTTTATCTTTCATGATTTTTATTTAACTAAAGTTCTTTTTTTTCAAAAACAAATATAACTTGAATATAAATCATCATTATTTTGCACACATCCCTCAGTGGTTACACACCCACAATATATATATATATATATATATATATATATATATATATATATATATATATATATATATATATATATATATATACCATTAAACACTTCCTAAGCAAAGCTGCAAATATCTGACATCTTGATAACTCAAGGTTTGGCTCTTCAATTTGACCCCAAAGTAACATCATGAATTAAACTTCGAATTAACAAGAAAATGTAACCCAATTGTTTCTTTTCATGCTTTCGTACTTTAAAATTATAAACGTTGATGATGACTAATATAATAAGAACTTAAATAGAAGAGATGTGATTATAAACGTCATGTTACGTATATATTTCGATATATATATATATATATATATATATATATATATATATCTATATATATATATATATATATATATATGGCCTGACGATTGTATATAGCATGAAACAGACTGTCGCCTCTAAGTGTTGACTTCTATGTTCACTTTTATATTTACACACGCTATCTTATATTGAGCACTTTATCCCATAAATATAGCACACCTTAAGACTATATTTCTTCATTCATATATATATATATATATATATATATATATATATATATATATATATATATATATATATATGTGCGAAAGAGTACTGCTTACCTAGCTAGCTAGTTAGTTTTGTAGTCGTAGTGTAGAGAGTTCTATCTTCACCGAGTCGTTTATATTCAATGAGAGAGACTTCATAAGATTGAAACGGGAAAGTCACAATTCTATGTAATTTTGACATAATTTAGAAGAGTGTTTTGGATCGTTATCTTGTTGAAATGTGAATTATTTTGCTAATGTTTAAATCAGATGGTATAGCATGTCTTTGTAAAATCAAATGATATTGTTGAAAGCACGTAATCATCATTTAGTCTTTCTCCTCACATATACTCTTCACATATTTTCCTATTCTTAAAGTTGACATTTTGAATCTCCCCATAATACATTTTGACACTCTTTCAATTCTTGGCAATTTGCCCTCTTTGAGAATAGCATTTTTTTTAATGAAATTTCAATTTGTATCCTCATCTCAATGTTTAGCTGCTTTGATTTTGCCATTTTGCGCAAATTACTTTAAAATAAAAAAAAAATGAAAATTATGTCGTAATAGCACAATATTTTCTTCAAAGATAACTTCATATTTTGTCTACAACATTAGTCAGTACTGGGTTAAAATTTAGAACTTGTAATAAAATTAGTTGAAAATTATAATTTCAAACCGTCTGTTGAGGGGTTAATGGTGAAAATGAAATAGGTTTCTCATACATAATTTAGTAAAATTTATTGTGGACAAATGAATCTTTTGGTAGTAAGAGCAGTTACTGAAAAGTTTATCTTTTAATTAAAAAAAAATATTAAAAAATCTCATTTAAGGAAATACAGGGGACTGTCTAACTTTTTGCATGTAGTATACATAAAATAATAATTTTAATAGTGAAAACTGCAATTTAATCATTTTATTATAATTTTAATTATAGACAAAAATACAATAAAAATATTTTAGTATGTTTCAAGTATCGCAAGTAATGGTGAAAATCAAATGTTAATTTTTAAAATTTTTGATTAAAGGTCATTTTATTTAATTTTTTAAAGTATCACCACGCATCTTTAACTAAAAGTTACTTTTATCATAATTGTCGTGAAATTTGTAAGAAAAAAAAAAAGAAATAGAAGAGAAAAATCTAATATAAATTTATATCTACTAATTGAACCGGAAAAAATAGTATTTGAAAACTTGTTTCTAGTATATTCTATATAACAGCGTAACGTGATAAATTGTGAGAACGTATATATCTGCAAAAGAAAAAGAAATCTAGATTTAAAATTGAAAGATAAAAATTTGCTAATTATTTGATTTTAATAAAATTTCTAAAATTTATTCATTTACGAATGAATTTATTTACGAAATAAGCATTGTGTTAGAAAGGTTTAGCTGAATAATTTAAGTTAACCAAACATTTATTGGGAAGATATGCAATGGCGCCCTGATTACAAGACGGTGAATATTGTTTAATAAATCCAGTTCAAAGTATCAATCAATTCGTTAACAATTAGTTTATGCAAATCATAACGTCACGCTAAATGTATATGGATTGAAAGAACAGAAGAAGACAATTGAGACACAGTTTGCTTAAATTTTTTGAAAAGAATTATCTTTTGAACGTTAAAAATATTTACATTTGTAAAAAAACAAGTCTGCTGAGAAATTAAATTTGTTGAATTCTTCATTGAAAACTTCAACCTGATGTGAAAACTTCAACTAATATAGACAAAATAATTTTTAATGTTTTAAACTTTCCTATGACGTTTTTGAAACGTTGCCATTAAATAAGACTGTTTTAATAACTGGGAAACGTAGAACTTAGCAAAAGGCAAGGAACTGGATTCTTTTTACTCCTTACATAAATTATGTAAAATTAAATTTTCTTTTGGTATTTTTAGTATGCAAGTTTATACGCTCACAAGACAAAAGAAAATGGAAAAAGAAAATAAAAGACAAACTGAAACAGGTTTTTAGTCATTTTCTGTCACCTACGCCATGAGACGCTCGTAAATCTAAGCGGATATTCATCAATCATGTCAAAATCTAAATCATTTTTGATGACATAACTAAACACACCTCTAAAACCTGATTTAGGTACGTTTTCTCTTTTACGACTAACTTTATGTAATTTGCAAAGAAGACCAAAAATTAAAACTCCAAAAACGTCATTTAAATTTATTCAAATTATTGCAATAACTATTTATTTTATTAATCAACCGATGTTTTATTTTATTTATTTTTTTTACAGTATGGTTCACTCTGTACAGAGCCCAGGTGCCACTAAAGTTAGAGGTTTACGTTTACGTTAAGGGATATTTTGTGTATAGGAGAGGAAGATAACGGTTAACTGTAGATTTGAACAGGTTAAGATACTAGTGATCGGGGGAAAATCCTCCTGGGAGCTTACTTTACTTCTCACCAATGGAATACGGATCGAATGTGGGTGGTTTGCTACTATATAAGTGGCAATTGCGGATCCCAGCCGTTAATTTTTAGTCAAATCCGTCGAGTTTCGATCCCGGCTTGAAGCAATCTGATGTCTTGCCACACTGATGAGCTGTGATACAGCGAAACAGGCTGTCTGTGGATGATATATATATATATATATATATATATATATATATATATATATATATTGTAACAATAAAAAATATTAAAAAATTAAAATCTTCAGACACACTGGGTTGTAGATTAATATTCTTTCATAATTATTATTTCATTTAGATTCCTCGACTAGTTTCGGACAAAATGACTATCATCAGGAGAAGAAATATTTCTGCTTTCTGGTAGCAGTAAACTACAGAAATGATATATATATATATATATATATATATATATATATATATATATGGCGATCGCGAATCTCGTGACCCATCAGGGTCGTAGGGACACCATATGTACTGCAGCCGCCTCATTTGATATCCATACAAACGAAAAATTAAAGTTTATATTGAAAACGCGTTGAAAGTACCGGTTCGTGTCTAGTTACCAAAGTTAAGCATCTTCGATCCTAATAAGAACTTGAATGAGTAACCACCTCGGACAGCAAGGATTGTAAGCAGCTTTGTGCTGTAAAGACAACGCTGATGCTTATTTGAACATCG